AAGTGTGTGCTGGAAGCCCCATTTTGAGAATGATCTGGATGACTTTTAACCTCTTACGCTGTGAGACAGCCTCGAGCACTTCTTTCCTGGGAGGTCACTTCATGAGGAAGCAGAAAAGCCTCCCTGAGGGAACCCAACATCTGGTGGCATCCTTTCCACAGCTGTGCTGGTGCCAGCCCTCTGGCCCCAGGGAGATGTTCTCACCACTTCCTGTCCTCACCCAGGTCCAAAGGGAGGGATGGCAACACGTATAAAGTAGAGGAAGGGTCGGAGGAGGTTTTGCAGGTCAAATGTGTGTGAGCACTGTCCTTCACTCTGGGCCAAGGAAGTAGGGTTTGCCCCTGGGGGGTGCTTCCTGCTGTCAGGGAGGTCAGCTATAGGTGGGGACATCACTTACAGGAGGTGAAAGAAGCTAGTCGGAGGCTGAGCCTCGAGTCCACTCATGCTGCCTGCGGCCCCCATGCCTCCGTTGCCTCATCTGTACTATGAGAAGATGACTGTGACCTAGAAGTGTACCTGGGAAGAGTTGTTACAACTCTGAGCTACTCCTCTATCCCTTTCCGCCTTTCCACAGTCTGCCTCAGTTTCTCAGAGAGGAAGACAGGGCAGTGGAAAGAGCTCTGGTCTGGGTTCAGACTAGTAGGAGGTGAGGTGTGTCACCATGGAGGGAGAGGGAGCCAGACCATGATATCCATCCATGCTCAGGCTCTGTGATGTGGCCTTGTGCATATTGCTTCTCCTCTCCGGGCCTCAATTTCCCCACCTCTAGTATAAAGGAAGGAGCCCTGGTGGCACAGTGGTTAAGAGCTAGGCTGCTAACCAAAAGGTCGGCAGTTCGAATCCACCAGCCGCTCCTTAGAAACCCTATGGGGCGTTTCTACTCTGTCCTATAAGGTCACTATGAGTCAGAATCCACTCGATAGCAATGGGTTTTAGTATAAAGGAGCTGAACAGGAAGTTATCTGAGGGTCCTTCTAGCCATAAAATTTTTTAAAATGATCTTTATGATTATTTGATAATCTAGAAGGGTGAAGTTCTCCGCCTCCTCCAGACCCAAATCTCAGGCTTCAGTCTCTCCATCTGTAAACTGGGAAGAATGATGCTGTTATTGGTGCAAATGTCTGATCTGGAGATCACCTCCAGCCTGTCCAAGGAGTTCTCCGGTTGCCCCTTCCTCAAGCCAGGGCTCAGAACCTCACTGCCCGGTACCTTGGCCCAAGGTGAGCCCTGGGAAACTCCATGGCAACAAACTGGTTATGAACGGGGCTGCAGTTGCCATGGTGATAGGCTGCACTCTCTATTTCTCTTCCCCCTCCTCTCCCCTCCCCTCTTCTCAATGAACCAAAGAGATCTGCAGGTCCCAGCTCTCCAGGTGGGGTGGGGGTGGGGGGTGGGTACAGTGAGAAGGGGGTCCAAAGTGGGAAAGTGGAAAGACAGGGCTGAGATACAGGGGAAGGGGGGCTGTTGGGGTGCTGTTGCCATGGTGACAGGGCTGCAGCCTGTTAATTCAGCCCCCGGTTGCCACGGAGATGGCAGTGGTTGACGCGCTCTGTGGCGAACCCTGTGTGTATGTGTGGGGTGCACTGTGCGCTGGACTCATCAATTCACTGTGAGGGGTCTGGGTTTGAAGGATGGGATAGGCAGGTGGGGGAGAAAAGGGGGAAGGAGGGGGCTTGGGGCCTTGGCCCCAAGAAGCCAGACAGAGCTGGGGGTGGTTGGGTTAGGTCATGGGGGTAAGAATGAGGACTGAGCCATAATGGGGAACACTGTGCTGGCCTCAGTTGGAAAGAGATAGACAGGTGGCTCCAGCTTCTTCATCCTTGCTTAGTGGGTGGAGCCTTGGGCTGCAGGTCAGGGAGCTGGATTCTAGTCCCCAGTCTGCCATAATCTCACCCCATAAAGACAATTTGTACCTTCCATTTCTAGACTCCAATTTCCCCATAAATGGGGGAGTGGTGACAAATAATTTGTAAAGTCTCTTCTAGCTCCCTAACCCTAAGATACCCAGGAGGCAGCGTCTCTGAGGTTTTTTCTCTCTGAGAAACATAGGATGGGAGGGCGAATGAATTTCAGAAACTCTGAGTTCAGAAATAGGACCCTGCCTAGCTTTGCATGTTTGTTGCTTTAGCGAGAGGGTTACGCTGGTCCTGGATCTTGCTAGGGCTCTGGTTGGGAGGGGCTGCTGGCCTGGCAGCCAGATTCCTGGGGCTTCGAGCTGAGGGATCACCTCTTGTCGGCCAAGGCCAGGCTGGCAGCACAGGAGGTGCCTACAATGTTTTCTCAAAGTCCACTGCAGAGGGTTGGCCTGAGGCCAGAATAGGGCCCAATCTCCTTGAGTGGCGAGAGGTGTGAATCGAGGGGCCGGGGTCTCCCCTTGGGACGTCTCCTCACTTGGCCTGGGATCCTCAGGAGGGGCTGCTTGACTTTAGTCTGGGAAGAATGGAGAGAGCACTAAGAGTTTTCAGAGCAGAGAGAAGTTCCATGGATTATCCAGCCCAACCCTTTCATTTTACGGATGAGAATACTGAGTTCCAGAGAGAGGAACTCAGTTTTGCTCTGAGGGCACGCAGGGAGTTTTGGGGCAGAGGACAGGATAGAACTACTGTCTCCTGAATCCCAGACACCTCTTGAGATGGGAACTCTGGTGAGGGTGGACAGATGGGGAACCCTGTCTTCACCTGTGTTTCCTTGGGATCTAGGTTTCCCTGTGGGTGGGCTCAGTCAAAAAATGGTTTCTCAAGTGGCTAGAGCGTCACTAGCTCTGGACCGCAGATGAAGGGAAATGCCTACAGGGGAACGTCCCAGACCTGGGATTGCTGAACAACCCCAGCTTCTACTTTATTCCACAGCACTTCTCAGACAAACATACTGCACAGGTTTTACTATGTTACGTGTCCCCATAGAGTAGCAGAAACCCCTAGTGATGGTGGTGGCGGTGTACGTGTGTGTAGTGAAGTGTTTAGAAATGCTTCAACACTGGCCTACCCACCTTCTATCCTTTTGACCCGTGTCACCAGTCCAAACTAATTTCACCTTTTTTTGTGGTTTTCTCTCTGGAAGACCCAAAGACCAGTTCTCATGCTTGGAATAGCTAGTTCTCCACCCTAAAGGGCACAATGCACATCCACAAAATCCAGTGGCAGTAATACCTTGTTGGTGGGTCCCTCAGAGACACCTCTGAGTCAGCTGCTGCAGACTCCATGATTGACCCAGTCTGAAGTCATTGACAAATTTGTGCAATGGAATCTGGGCAGCTGGCCCTGTTCATGGTGCTGAAAGTGCCCTGTCCTATAACGGGGTCTTCAGGGGTATGGATGACTTGTTACGGCCCTTGAAGGTCTTCTGGGTCCGTCTTCAGTTGCAAGAGGACAGGCCACTCCAGTCCTGCACCTGCAAGGCCTGACCCCAAGAAAAGGGAGAAAGCTCGTCTCAGACCCGATCTCCGTTCCTTTTTTCAGTGCCAAGAAGCTGCTGAGCAGCTTGGATATAACTGCATCCTTGTCTTTCTGTTGGAGGCAGGATCAGTTTAAAAAGGGGTTCTGTTGAGGAGGGGGTCCTAAACCAGAGTAAAGAGAAATGGGTTCTAGCCGGAGTTGTGCCACTCCCTGGCCTGGGTCCACAGGCAGCCATTTCCCCTCTCTGAGCCTTAGTTTCTTCATCTGCGAGATGAAAGCTGTGCATTAGATGAGATGATTGACAGAATCTCTCCAGCCCTGGAAGTCTCCTGGAGCTCAGAGGGCTAGTGTCAGGGGCTGGAGTGAGTCCAAAGATCATTTCCCCTTAATCTGCACCCACCCTTGGATATTTAGCTCTTCCAGAGACTCGCAGGGTCCAAACCTCTAATGCTGCCTCCTGAGATGTCTCCACCACTGGCTCAAACCTGGACTCTAGAGGTGATGGGAGTGGGGGGTGGTGTCCCAGAGTGATAAAGCTTCTGGGAGGCTGGTCTCAGGGGAGGGGGAAGAGTATGGAGAGAATGTCAGCTTTGGAAGCTTCAGAAAGCAATCGTGGATTATGGGATTAGACACTCCCAACCCAGGAGAAAATCTGATCCCAAACCGACAGGCAGCCTCATTCCCCCCTCCCCCACTCTGTCCCTGGCCATCCTTGGGACAAGCCTGCCTCCCTGGAGGCTGCACCACCCTCGGTAGGGAGTCCAGCTCTGGAACCAAGTGCTGCCTTCTCTCCTCTTACCCTCTCCTCCCCACGTCATTCCATACTAGAAGGCCCTTGTCTGTGGGCTCCCAGGACTTGATTTGGGGGTGGGATGCCGCTACTCCTGTAAGTCTAAGCACACTGAGAGTTCATTGCAGCCCTCAGGCTCCACCCCCCCCCCCCACTTTAAGACAGGATGGGCCAGACAGTTCAGCTCAGTGACCCTGAACCCCCTGGGGGCAGTATAGTGCTTCAGTTAGGCCCCTGGACACTCTACCCCTTCAGCTCCAGCCCCCAGAACAGCGATATGGGAGAGGGTCTGGTTCTCCTCCACTCTTCAGGGCTCCTCTCTCCAGCTTTGCAGACAGGCTCCCCAGGACCCCATATTCCATGGCGGCGCCTTGTCACTTCAGTCTCCCTCATCTTCCCGCCGCCCCGGGGTCGCCCCAGACCCTCAGCCAAGCGGCCGCTGCGGGGCCGACTCTCTGCGGCCGCGACCTAGTTCCCTGCCGTTATTTTTAGGGCGCGGGATGGCACCTGCCCACGTGCCGGGCCCCGCCTGCGCCGGAGAGTGTGTGGGGGAAGCTGCGTCTGCTCAAGGGGGGCAAGGCCCCCGTTTCCCGCAGCCCCCCTCCATCCCACGCGCAAGTCCCCAGTTTTCGTGTGAGGGGGCCGCCAGGCGTGCTCTGCCCGCCCCTCGTCCCCTCTTCTCCCTCCCCTCGTCCCTCCCTCCTGCGCTCCCCCCAAAACCCCGCCAGTGGCTCACGCCTCCTGCATACGGGATGAGGTGAGCAGCGCCGCCGCTGAGAGGGGGCGCGCGCGGGTGTGAGCGTGTGTCCGTGTGAGAGTGTGTGTGCGTCGGGCGGGCGGGCACTGCAGCTTCCTCCTCCGTGGAGCGGGGAGCGAACGAGAGCTAGAACGAGCGAGCGGCGAAGGCGGGCAGAGGGGCGCGGGCGAGGCGGCGCAGTCATCCCTGGCCCGGCGCGGCGCCGCCACCATGCTAAACAACCTGACGGACTGCGAGGACGGCGATGGGGGCGCCAACCCCGGTAAGCGGCGGTCCGGGGGTGGCGGGGGAGGGGGCGGCGGGGATAGGAGGCAGCTCTGGGGTTAGAGGCGGAGCGGGGGCCTCCTCTTTCAGAGAAGAGACTGGCGTTGACCCGGGCGGTGGGCGCCGGAGGCGGCCTGAAGCCTCTCTCCAATGGAATGCGCCCGGCGCTGTCCGAGGTTCTGGAATGCGCCGCGCCTAGGGTGCAGGACTGGAACCGAGGGGTTACTGTTGCCTAAGGCCGGGGGGCAGACGTAGGTTAGCTAAGCCGGGGAGGAGGTGGGAAGGGGATAGTGGAGCTAGAATGGGCTGACGTGGAGCTCGACGGAGTGGGAGGAGGGCGCATTTTCCCGTGAAGGGACCCTGGCGTCCTGGCGCATAGGGAGAACCAGCGGCGCCGGAGGGCGCAGCCTGCTGCAGTCCCTTACTCTGAGACTTCCAGCAGGAAGATGGGGGGAAAGGTGGCTATAGAAGGTTGGAGCCACAGGACAGCCCCTGTCCGGGCTGCGGTGTCTCCTTAAGGGGACACTTGGTGCAATCGGGGCCCCCTCCCCCAAGGCTGCCCGAAGTCCAAGCTCAGACTGAAGCGTACTTCCTCCGGAGGTTCTCGGCTCTACTTTGCGGAGTCTCCCGCTCCCTCTCGCTTCCCCGTGGGTTCCTATTCAGGACGGGCAGCAAGATCACCCTCCTTTTTCCCCTCTTTCCCCCTCCTCTGGGTACCCTGGGGCGGCAGTGGGCTTCCCAGGGCGGGGCAGGGAGGAGTCGCTCTAGTTGGCTCTGGAAGCTCCCCCAGCAAGGCCTTGGGAATGATGTCCCAGTGCCTGAGTACCCGTGCGGCGGCGCGGACACTGCAGACGCTCTGCGGTGGGTGCTGAGATTCACCAAGGAGTCGAGGGGCTCTGAGCAAGTCCTGTCGCTGCGCCCTCTCTCCCCTACCCTCCTCCGTGGCTTCGCTGCTCCGAGGTCTTCGCGGCCAGCCACTCCCTCGGGCTCCTGGACCCCCCGCCGCCCCCCAGCGGTCTCCGCCATCCATCACGGCTGTCAGCCGCCCCCAACCCCCACCCTCCAGCGGCGCTGCGTCCCCTGCGCACAAGCGCCACCAGCTTGGCTGTCTGCGCTCAGCGCCTTCAAAAGCTCCCCTGGGCATTGCCTGACCCTCTGGGCCAGACTCCCGCAGACGTCTCTGGGGGATGGCGGAAGGGTCCCAGGACTGAAACAGCGGGGTCTTCCAGAGCCTGGCAGCCTTGACTCTAAGGTCCTTTGGGCCCTGAATCTAAACCAGGGCCAAGTGGCCGCTTGGGAAGGCTGTGGACACCAGGGTCCCCAATCCTTTGTCTTAGATCCCCCCTTCCTCTGTAGGACTGAGTGACATACAGGGGCCAGAACTACCGGCTGGCCAGGACATCCATCTCCCCAGTGACCCTGGGATCACTTCATCCTGCAGCCGCCCCCCTCCCCCCGCAGCTTCGGCTGGAGGTGGGGGGAAGGGGGCTGGCAAAGTCGAGTCTGCGGCAGCGCCAGGCATCCTGACGCGGTGCCCGGGGAGCAAAGGGGGGTCATTTCCATCCAGGACCCCCTTCAGATGCCTCCACTCTGAGGACAGGGCTCACCCTGAGAGATAATCTCCCTGTGCCACCAGGCATGAGGGATGGTCCAATCCCCGAGCCCTGGCTTTTCTGCTCTGATGTTGGAGCCTCCTGGCCCTTGGGGCTTCCATGGGGTCTCAGGAGGCCTAAAAAGAACACCTATGTATGTGGAGCAGGGGTCAGCTAGGAACTCCCTTCACTCGAGCCTCTCCCCATCATTTTCCAGATCCTGAGTGTAGGAGGGCCACCTCTATACCATCTCTGTCTCTATAGTCTCCACGACCGGGAACTGGAGTGGTCGGGACCTGGGTTAGTCGTCCTGGGCCCCAGAGAGGGAAAGCCTCCTAGCAGGGCCTGGAGATGATGGTAGGGGGCGCTAAGAACCTCCTGGATTTGAGGGAATAGGGACCGTCAGACCAAGAGCCCCGGAGGTCTCTGATCCGAGGTCATGGGGGTGTATGGGGAGAGCTGACGCTGATCTGAGGAGGTCGGAATAGCCGAGTAAGAGGGTTCCTCCGCACGAAAGAAGAACCCAAGGACATTGTCCTCCAGGTCTCCTTTCCCCTTGGGGTCTGACGCCCCCGCCCCACCTCCCAGAGCTGGTCTGGGGATTCCCCCAGGCCCAGCCTCAGGCCCCAGGGGAGGCTCCTCAGTCCGCGTTGCTTGCCTGTTTCCTCCCCAGGAGCTCAGGCCGCCGCAGCTTAATTGAAAGCCGATTCGGGCTGAGAGCTCCCAGGGGGCGGGGGCAGGGAGGGCTCAGCCTCCGTCTGGCCCTGCCTCTCGCGTGCGCCGGTCGGCGCTCTCATCACCCTGACTCTGGGCTCTAGGGAATCGGGGCGAGTTCCCCCTTCGTTGTCCTGCGCTTTTGAGGGCGCGACGAAGCTTCCCACCCCTCCCGACCTGTGCGCCCCGCGTTCCAGAGACTGGACCAAATCAGCCCTGGAAGATGAGGTCGGGCGCCTGGCGTCCCGCCCAGAGCCGCCCCCTCCCCGGCCCTCATCTGCTGGCCCGGATCCGGCCCGAGTCTGGCTCCGCGCTGCGCGCGGCGTTACATAAGCGGCTGCGGGCGCGTGGCCGGCTCGGCTCGGCGTTGCGCTTTCGGCCCGCGTGGTCGCCATGGAGACCGGCACCGGGCTGCTTCGTTGCTGAGTCTCAGGCCTGGACGCCCCCCTTTCCGCTCCCCACGCGCCACTGGTCCCAGTGAAGGAGGAGAGGATTGGGAGGGGGCGTGAAAGGCAGAAGAGAAGGGCTCCCCTGGTTAGTTATCCGGCGCTAAAAGCGGACGCCACGGGAAAGGGACCCAGCGGCACAGGAGACAGGGCCCTAAATTTTTCGACTGGGAAAAGGGATGTGGGATGGGGAGCCCGGGCTGAGTGGGACACCACGAATGTTAATAATAATCGTAATTGTAAAAGAAGCAGTAATGCCAGCAATAACTACAGTTATGTGCCGAGGCACACTCAGTATGTATTTCATTTAATCCTCACAACAGCCATAGGAGTTTAGGACGATTGTTACCCCTTTGCAAAGGAGGAACGGAGGCTTGGAGCCTTTGTCACTCGCCCAACGTGAGGACACAGCCACTGAAGCTGGAACAGGGATCTAGGTCTCCTTGGCTCCAGCCCCTTCCCTTAAGTACTGGTAAATTTCTTCTCATCTCTTTCCCCTTCACCTAGGAAGTCCCCACCTTGGTGTGGTGAGAAGGGAGGCATCTTGCCAGCCTTTTAAAGGAAAGGGGAACCCATCCCTCTTATTTCTCCTGTTCTCTGGCCGCAGACAGCTCTTCTGAGTCAGGAAGGAAATTTACCTCCAAAGACTTTTTCCTGAGCACCTATTATGTGCTAGTTCCACAGGAAGGAGTTCCAAGAACTCATATACGTGAGGGGAAGAAAGAACTGGTAGTTCGTTCTCTGGGGGAGCAGGAATTCCTGCCTTGGTGGATGAGGTGGCAGTGGTGGCAGGAGAAAGTGGGTGGTGAGTTTCTCTGAAGCAGATGAGACATCACTTCCTCCCCCTCCCCAATTTTGAGACAGGATGGGATTGGGTTTATAACAGAGGGACAGGTCATGCTCTGAGGATGGGCCCTAGGTGGGTGACTAAGGAAGGTTTCCAGGAGGTAGGGAGGAGGAGGATGGGGAGGGTTTGGATAGATGGAGATGGGGAGGCAGAGATGTCAGGAGTTGCAGGGACCAGGAGATTCAGGATGCATAGGGCCTTAACTTCACTTGGGATTTGGTCAATGGGGAGTTTCTCCAGGGTCCAGACAGATGTCTACTACTGGGATTCAACCCTGGAACTGGGGAAGAGTGATGGCTGGAGCCAAGGAAATGGGTCTATGGAAGCTTCTTATCTCTCTCTGAGAAGACTCTCCCCTTTTGTCCAAGAGACCTTCTCCTTGGGTAATCTCATACAGGCCCATGGCTTCGCATACTACCTGCACACCTTTACGTAGATGATTCTATCTCTTTTCTCTTTTCTGAGTCCCACACTGATCCATATATCCAAGTGGCTTCTAGACTTATCCACTTGAGTCCTCCAGCCCCTCCTCCTCAACCAAATTCAGCATCTTCCCCACCCAACCTCCTCTTCCAGTCCTCCCCATATATTAAATAGCACCTTCACCCACCCATTCCCCTAAGCTAGAAACCCCAGGCATTATCCTAGATTCTTCCTGCTCTCCCTCCCCAAACATCTGGTATAGAATCTTTGCTAAGAATTCTTGAGTCTGTCCATTGCCCTACTGGCTCTGGTCTGGGTCGCCATCAGCCCTTACATGGATTACTGAAAGTTTCCCACTAGCTTCTGCACTCTTCACCTCAAGGCCAGTGTGATAGCTCTACAATACAAGTCTGTTCATGGCATTTCTTTACCTGAAACTCTTCAATGACTTCCTGTTGTCCTCTGGATGAGGTTCAAATTCTTTAACATGACCCAGCCGGCGCTTACCTTCCTAGGCTCACATTTTCACATTTCCCTACCCATCCTTCAGCTCCCCGACATAGATGTTCCTCAGACTCCAGCCAGATCAAGCTTCTTCCAGCTCCCTTAACCCACTCTGTTCACTCTCACCTCTGGGCCTTCGAACATGCTGTTCTGTCTGCCTGGAACACTCTCCCACCTCCCTCCCAGTCTGGCTCTTACTCATCCTTCAGCTCTCAGCTGAAACGTCACTTCCTCTGGGAAGCCTTTTGTGACCTCCCAGGCTGGGCTGAGTGCCTCCCCTGTATTTCCACAATCCCTTGCTGATCTTTAATCACAACACTTGCCACTCTGGGCTGGAAATTCCTGGTTACTGGTTCATTTCCCCTGGCCCTGGGCTCCCTGAGGGCAGGGATGGTGTCTGATTCTGTTTTATCCCTCTGTGCCCGTACTGGCACATGGTGGACATCCGATAAATGCATGGTGACTGAGGTGAGTGAGGGGTGTGGGAGATCTTTGGGGGGAGTCACCTCTCCAAGAAGTGGAGTATTCTTGGGACTTCAGACTGTAGCATCTCTTCATTCTCCCTGGGAAAAAGCATGTCCCCACCCCAAAACATCAGAATGGGGCCAGTTATGATCAAGATGGGGACCCTAGAGAGTCTTGAGGGTGCCCTGGTAAATGAAGTAAGACCCCAAAGAGCAAGAAAGCACTCACACCTTTATCAAATACCCATGCCAGGCAGTGCATTAAGCTCTTTATACATGCTATCACCTAAAATCCTGCAAGAGAGGTAGTATTAGCTCCATTTTTTTCCAGTGTACAAACTGAGGTTCAGAGAGTTAAAGTGGCCACACAGCTGTATGCCCAGGCGGATAGAGGACAAACAGCTGGTGCCAGACCCCTGACTCCTCTGCCTTCTCAGGTGATGGCAACCCCAAGGAGAGCAGTCCCTTCATCAACAGCACTGACACCGAGAAGGGAAAAGACTATGATGGCAAGAACATGGCCTTGTTTGAGGTGGGCTGCATAGGGTGTTGGGCCTCACCGACAGTTCATCCTCTCCATCCATCAGCTGCTCCCTCCCTCCCTAGGTTACAGTGCCCTACTCCTCATATCCCTCTTGGGTCCACCTTCTCCCTTGAGCCTCCACATCCCTCCTTCTCCTCCTGGATTTACCTCCTCCACCACTGCTCCCCTCTTCGTAGCCTACCATCTTCTTTCCCCATTTTCCTTGCCTATCCATCCCTCCTCCTCCCCCATCTCATCCCAACCTCAGTGATTTGCCCTCATCTTGCCCTCTGCCCCCTACCAGCTCACCCACTCACTCCCCTGGGCTCTCAGCTTCCTGACACCACCCCTTCCCTCTGCAGGAGGAGATGGACACCAGCCCCATGGTGTCCTCTCTGCTCAGCGGCCTGGCCAACTACACCAACCTGCCACAGGGAAGTAGGGAGCACGAAGAGGCTGAAAACAATGAGGGTGGAAAGAAGAAGCCAGTGCAGGTGGGGGACTTGGGGAAGAAGGGATAGGGAGGAAGGGAGGGTGGAGGGGAAAAAGGATAGGGGAAGGGAAGTGGAGTCTGATGGAGGGATAGATGATGGAGGCAGAGGGATGGGAGTTGGGGGATGAGGGTAGAGATGGAGGGAAGGAGGGAGGGGTGGGCTTGAAGGGTAGGTGATGGAGACAAGAAGGATGGGAGGTGGGAGCTGGAGGAGAGGAGGGAATGGGGGTAAGAATCAGAGAGAGGAGGGATGACGCAATGGGGATGGAGAGAAGAGGAGAATGGGGGAGGCGGAGTGGGCCTGGTGTATTGTTAGGGGCTGCAGAGACTGATGCTGGCCTCCCCTCAGGCCCCACGCATGGGCACCTTCATGGGTGTGTACCTACCATGCCTGCAGAACATCTTTGGCGTCATCCTCTTCCTGCGACTCACCTGGGTGGTGGGCATTGCAGGCATCATGGAGTCCTTCTGCATGGTGTTCATCTGCTGCTCCTGTGTGAGTGACAGCTGGGGCTGGGCAGAGGCCTGGAGGTGGGAGGTGGGAGCATGAGACCTGAGCTTTTTATAGGAACCACTGCTTATGATCTCTGAGAGTAAATTAGGTCTGACTGGTCCTTCCTGCATCTCATATCATCGGCTTGTCTCTGAGGACTATTAACCAGGTTTCACCTAGATCTGTGCGCCTGTGTATGTGTGTATAATTACACAAGTAATGAAGAATCATTGCGTCATTGATAAAAAAAAGATAAACATAAAGAAAAAAATAGAATTCACCTAAAATCTCACCATAGTCAACATTTTGGTAGGTCCAGACACCCAAAAAATGGGATTATGTGTCACAGACAGCCTTGTAACTGGATTCTTTCCATCCCCTCTAAAAAATCAGATATTCACTGAAAACCTACTTCTTGCCACATTTCCATTTCCTCACATAACCCTTGAGACCATCCTGTGCGTAAGGTAGCCAGTGCTGAAGTTATTATGTCCGTTTTATAGATGTGGAAGCCGAGACTTAGAGCAGTGGAATGTCTTGTCCAGGTCATCCGGCTCAGAGGCCAGGCTGGGATTTCCAGATCTCTCGATGCAACAGGGTGTGCTCTTTCCACGCACATGGTGAATAAGAGGTTTTCTTGACAAGAAGGACTTGGCAGGAGTAGAAGTTGGAACAGGACCAGGGAGAAGCTGAGCGGAAGGGAACTTGTGGGTTTGGCGGGTGTTTATGGGGTATAGGACTTGGCTCTCACCCAGGCCACCACTGCCCCCCGCCTCAGCCGCCACTCTGATTTTTCTCTCTCCTCACAGACGATGCTCACGGCCATCTCGATGAGTGCCATCGCAACCAATGGTGTTGTGCCTGGTATGTGACTGGGGCTTCCGGGAGGGGGAAGGGAGGCTGGAGGGTCAGTGGTGGGGCCTGAATGATTGGAGGAGGGATTGTGCCCTGGGCTTTTGGGGCCAGCAGGATCTGAGAGAAGCCATCTCGCTGACCTGGGAGCTGGGCTGTAAGTGTTTATGGGGTAGGTAGGGACAGCCCTATTGGGGATGAGGGAGGGAAGCAGTTGCTGGTGCTGAATGGGACTATGGCAGCCCTCCCCACTCAGCCTGGGACCCTCCTCTCCACCACCTTGTTTTCTGAGCCATGACCTCCTTAGAGGGGTAATTAGCAACTTGATAATTAGTGCTGCAAAATCCAGGCAGAGTTACTCGCTGGGTCTCCCACCAGGCCCCTTTCTAGAGCTGCAGTCTGTGAGGTCCAGAGCAGTGCCCTCCCCACCTCTGTCATTGAGCCCCCCCTCACCCCTACAGCAGCCAGGGCCCCTCACACCTCTCGCTGATACTAGGTTCTCTCTGCAGCTGGCGGCTCCTACTACATGATTTCCAGGTCTCTGGGCCCAGAGTTTGGGGGCGCCGTGGGCCTCTGCTTCTACCTGGGCACTACCTTTGCTGGGGCCATGTACATCCTGGGCACCATTGAAATCCTGCTGGTGAGAGGGGCCAAGGAGGCGGTGTGGGGCCCCAGGTGGTCAGTCAGTTAACCCATGATCCCGGGACACCTCCTCTAGGCCAGCTGGTCAGGAAGACCAGAGAGAAATTGGAAGTGGTTTTGCTTTGAAAGAGTTCACAGCCTAGTTGGGGAGACAAGATACAGTAATTATGTAACATAAACAGCTGTCATTTCTCAGGCACCCACTGGGCTCCCAGCATAGTTCCAAGTCGTGCTTTACAGGCATGATCTCAAATCCTCATGCAGTTTAAGTATCATTATGCCCATTTTACAAATGAGAAAACTGAGGCTCAGAGAGGTAAAGTGACGTGCTCAAGGTCACTCAGCTACCAAGTGGAAGAAGTGGGTTGATAGGAGTAAAAATAATGGTCTAAGTCATAGTAGGAATGTCACACAATAGCTAGTAGTTTGTGATTGCCTCCCACGTACCAGGTACGGTGCCAAGGGCTCTGTAAATGTTCACTGTAGAGGGGTGACTGGGTTGCAGAAGAGAAGAAGGATATGAGGTACCCATGGAAAGAAGTCTGTTAGGAGGGGTGGCTGATGGGAAGTGACGGTGGACCCACCACTTCTCAAAAAGCCAGGGTGCTGGGCAGTGTTTGAAGGAGAGGGTCTCTGGTCTTCCTGCCCCTCCTGGAGGTGGTGGGAGCTGAAGAGGGTCCCCTGGTATATAGAAAGTAGAGCTGACATTTTGCAAGCCCCTACTCTATGCCGCCCCCAAGGCCTGGAATATATTATTTTATTTAATCCTCATGACTCTCCCGGGATTTAGAAGATATCCCCATTCTACAGATGAAGAAAGCAAGGCCCAGGGAGTTTGAGGGATGTGAATCTGTGTCTGGCTGACTCCCAAGCCTGTGCTTTTCCGTGACACCACGTGGCCTTGGAGAACTAGAACTAAAAGGGGTCACGGACTCCTGGTTTGGGGAGAGGATGGGGGAGCGAGGGGCCACGGAGGGTGGGTGAAGATCCTAAGGCCTGGGGACACAAATGAAGAGAGGACAATAAGAGATCTCCATGAGTTAAAAAAAAAAAAAAGTATTTTTTATTATTACAAAATCAATTCTGCCCATTGTATAAAATTTCAAAAATATCAAAGCAGGTAATAGCGATCCCTCAAAGAAAATCACTATTACTGTTTGAGTCTATTTCCTTCTAGTTTTTGTTCTTCTATGCAAAATTATATCCTGCCTTCATGAAATACAACTATACCTTAAACGTTTCCCTAAATAACTTGAAACTCTCTTTGTAAATATTATTTACAAGCGAAAATAACTTTTGCAAGAATCTAAACATAGCAATATTTCGTGTGTAAATTTTAGAAAATGCAGATATACAAAAAGAAGAATAAAGATTATCCACATTTTTTCTATTCAAGAAAAGCTACTGTGTGTAGATACATTTTGGTGTGTCTACACACACACACACCTACAGACATATATACATATCTGTGTATATATATATAAATATATAAATACACACATATATTTACAAAAATGAGATCATAGGAAACATTATTTTTTTTTACCTGCTTGTTTTTAACTGTATAATGTGGATAGCTTTTTGAATCAATCCCTATAAATTTGTGTCAACTTTTTTAACAGCTCCATGGTCTATATAGGAATATCATAATTTATTCACCCAATCAGCTAGGAATGAATAGCTAATTTATCTCCACGTTTCTATTAGAGATAATAAGGCAACAAATAATCATGAAGAAGGATAATTAATAATAAAATGATAGAAATAAACAATTGCTCTCAAAATCTTTGTAATAGCATTGTTTGATGACTGCGTGATAGTCTTTGCTGGATAGACTATGCTTTCCTTACCCATTCCCCGGTCATTGGATGTTATTTCCAGTTTTGCACTATTGCTGTGATGAGCATCCTTTTTTCCCCAAAGCCCTGTCTGTACTTCAGGCTATTTCCCTGGGATGATTCTCAGTTGGTCCTTGCTGGGTCCCTCGCCTGACCTCCTCATCCCTTTCCCACAGGCTTACCTCTTCCCAGCTATGGCCATCTTCAAGGCCGAGGATGCCAGTGGGGAGGCAGCAGCCATGCTGAACAATATGCGTGTGTATGGCACCTGTGTGCTCACCTGCATGGCCACCGTGGTATTTGTGGGCGTCAAGTATGTCAACAAGTTTGCCCTTGTCTTCCTGGGCTGCGTCATCCTCTCCATCTTGGCTATCTACGCAGGGGTCATCAAGTCTGCCTTCGACCCGCCCAACTTCCCGTGAGTGCTGCCCTTGGAGCCCGAGGCATTGTCCTCCCCCTCCATGACCTGGTTTCAGCGTCTTCATGTCAGTCACTGCCAAACCCTCTTTCCCCACCTATTATCATCTGAGTGGTTGTGGCTAGGGAGCAACCTACCTTGGAAGGAAAAATATCTCCCGATTTGAGGGCAGGCTCTTCAGGGTGGTATAACCTTTCTAAGAGTGGAAATAGTTTCCCTTGTGAGGGTCAACTGCTTGTTGGTGGGGTGGACTTAACAGTTTCTTCCTAAGTGGGAACAGCTTGTGAAGGGATGAACGTTTTCTGGGTGGGGACACCCTCCTGCAATGGGAAAACTTCTTGGTGTTAGACAACTTTTCTAGGATGGGAAAAGACACAGAAGAGAGGGTTCAGGGCCTCAGATCCCTGTTGGTTCTGCCTTTCTGCCTAGGACAGATTTCCCTACATCCCATGGTCCAGTGTTAATTATTGACTGCTGTCCGTGGTTCTGAAACATTGCATTGCACTAAAACAGTGGTTCTCCGCCTGGAGAGCTATGAACAAATGCTGATGTCTGGGCTCCATCTCAATTAAATCAGAATATCTGGAGGTGGGGCCCTGGCCTCTGTGTTTTTCAAAGCTCCCCCAGTGGCTCTGTTGTGAAGCCAGGGCAATGGAAGGTCCCTCCCCATCTTCCTCCCTTGATTCTCTACCTAGGATCTGCCTCCTGGGGAACCGCACACTGTCTCGCCATGGCTTTGATGTCTGTGCCAAGCTGGCTTGGGAAGGAAATGAGACGGTGACCACGCGACTCTGGGGCCTTTTCTGCTCCTCTCGCTTCCTCAACGCCACCTGTGATGAGTACTTCACCCGAAACAATGTCACAGAGATCCAGGGCATTCCTGGCGCTGCCAGTGGCCTCATCAAAGGTCTGGGGGAGGAAAGAGGGCTGGTCTCCCGGGAATGCTGCAGGGATTGTAGGTTAAGCGGTCAGGATTAAGGGGATCTCCTTGGTTACAGTTAAATGCAATCAGCTTTAATTGAGCACCTATTTTGGACCATCTTCTGTCCTTAGCATCATGGAGGGCTAGAGATGAAAAAGAGCCTTCAGCTATCTCACCACATAGTGGAAAAGAAAGTCATCAGTTTAACAAGTATTCGCTAAGCACCTACTAAGTGCATAGCACTGTGACCACTGGAAACACAAAATAAATAAGTTACAGTCCTTGGACTCCAGGGAAGGGGTCCTCTGGCCCAGACAGATGTATTAGCAAATAAATTATGATACCCATTGATGTGCATTCAATGAAGAGAGACTACTCAGAGGAGGGAGTGATCATTTTTCCAAGGTGGCAAGGCAAGGTTTCCTGAGCTCACCTGAGGAGGATTTTGAAGGATAAATAGGAGATTTTCAGTTATACTAGGGGAATAAGGGAATTACAGACAGAAGAACAGCTTACCTAAAAGCATGCAGACACAGGAGAGCATACTGTGTCCTTCCAACCACACGTAATTTGTTACGACTGGGGCATAAAGTGCAAAGCAAGGAGGGGCAGGGACGTTGGAGAGGCTGGCATGAGTCAAGTTGTGGCAGGCCTTGGAAGCTATGTTGAAGAGTTTGGACTGTACCCCGGGCCATGAGGAGCCACCAGTGGGTTTTGAGTAAGGGAGGGGCATGGTCAGATCCTCATCTCTGAAGGTTCGCTCTGGCTGCTAATGTAGAGGGTTAAAAGGGGAGAGAAGAGAGGCATGGAGGCCAGGAAGAGGCTGCTGCTTTGAGTCCAGGTGAGAGACACGATGCTCTTCTGAACTAGAGTGGTGGGGTTATGATATTGGGATGAAGCAGTGGTTCTCAACTGGGAGCAATTTTCAACCCCAGGGGACATTGGTTGTGACAGCCAAAAGAGGGCTCTAATGGGTAGAGGCCTGGATGCTGCTAAACACCCTACAATGCACAGGACAGCCCTCACAACAAATAATTATTTTGCTTGAAATGTGTAGTTCTGAGGTTGAGATACCCTGGAATGGAGAGGAGGGACAGATTTGTGAAATACTTAGGAAGGATAATGGACAGGAGAGGGAGATGGTTTTGATATGGGGATGGGGGAGAGGGAGCAGCTGAGGGCAATGCCAGGATTTCTGAATTGATGGTGCTGCCATTTCATGAGCTAAGGGATATGGGAAAGGAGCTGGTTTGGGGTGGGTGGGTGGTGAGATCAATTTGGGACGTAGGGTCAGTCTGAGATAGGTGTTCATGTGTCTTTTACCCCACTAGACTGAACTCTTTGAGGTCAGGGATTAGGTCTGATTCATCTGTGAGACCCCTGCAGGCCCAAAGCTGAAATTTAGGAACGTTAGTGGATGGAGCCAAGGTTGACGGGGAGTGAGATGTGGTTGACCTTGACTCTTACTTTTTAAAAAAATTTTATTGTGATAAAATATATATAACACATAATTTGCCATTTTAACCACTTTAAGTGTACAACTCACTGACATTAATTACATTCGTAACATTGTGCAACCATCACCACTATCTGTTTCCAAAGCTTTTTATCACCCCAAACACAATAATTCCCTACTCCCTTTTCCCCCAGCCCCTGGTAACCACTAATCTACTGTGTCTGTGCACTTGCCTATTCTAGCTATTTCGTATAAGTAGAATCATAGGATACTGGTTCTTTTGTGTCTGGCCTATTCCACCTAACATGTTTTCAAGGTTCATTCATGTAGTAGCATGCATTAGAACTTCATCCCTTTTAATGGATGAATAATATTCCATTGTATGGATATATCACATTCTGTTTATTCACTCGTTATTGACCCCCACTTTTTGCCCACCCAATCTCGTGGTCCCAGAGCTCTGGACTGCTGGCTCTGGCGTTTCCCCTGAGCATCTCATCTCCCCACAGAGAACCTCTGGAGCTCCTACCTGACCAAGGGGGTGATTGTGGAGAGGCAGGGGATGCCCTCGGTGGGCCTGGCAGACGGCACTCCTGTTGACATGGACCATCCCTACGTCTTCAGCGATATGACCTCCTACTTCACCCTGCTGGTTGGCATCTACTTTCCCTCAGTCACAGGTGAAGGCGAGATCAGAGAGGGAGGATTCTGGGTGGGAGTGATGGGTAGGAGAGAGGCAATGAAGATGTTGGGAATTCCTTAGCTAATAACCCCATACATAGGCAAGTGCCAACTATGCAGTAGGCAGTCCATATTGGATAGATGAGAGAATTAAGGCCAAGAGAAGCCAAGTAATGCACAAGGCCTCACACAAGTCAGCATGCTAGAACGTGATACTAGGCTTCCTGACTCCAAGGCTGGTGTCCTTTCCTCTGGCTGGCTGGTCTCCCATGGCCCTAGCTCCGTTCTAGCTGCTCCTCTGTTCACAGGGATCATGGCTGGTTCTAACCGCTCTGGGGACCTGCGGGATGCCCAGAAATCGATCCCCACTGGCACCATCCTGGCAATCGCCACCACCTCCGCTGTCTGTATCCTGCACTGCTGGGCTGGGACCACCCTGGGTGGGGAGTGCTAGAGGGTGGGCAGCTGAAGTTGCTGCTTTACCTGGCTGGTTCAGGAGGGGCGGAGAGGAGGGCGAACTCTGCCCTATGGATTTTCCTTCATCCTCTGCTGCAGACATCAGCTCTGTTGTTCTGTTTGGGGCCTGCATTGAGGGAGTTGTCTTGCGGGACAAGTAAGTAAAGGAATCAGGGCTGGTCCTGATTGGGGGGGTAGGGCAGTAGACGTGGGGACCAAGTTCTTGGAAGCAGACCCAGCAGGGGGTGCTGAAACCTGTGCAAGGGGCCTTGTGGGAGGAGGCCACAGGGGGATGGAGGTTAAACTGCCTCCAAAACTAGCAGGTGTAATATATGCAAAATAAGCATTTGGCCATGACACTTGCCTGCTGGAAACCCTTCAGGGATTCCCCTATTTGTTATAAAACAAAGTTCCAGCTTCCTGGTACTGAAAACTAGGCCTCGAGGACCTGGCTCCAGCCTGTGTCCAGCATCCTGTCCCCTATTCCCCACCTTACAGAAGTTAGGATGCTGCCAGTGGAAATTGACTTCTGTGATATGAGTCTTGGGCGCAAATGGCTAAGCACTTGACTACTAACCAAAAGGTCGATAGTTTGAACCCATCAGAGATACCTCAGAAGAAAGGCCTGGCGATCTGCTTCCAAAAGGTCACAGCTTTGAAAACCTTATGGAGCTCAGTTCTACTCTGACACCCATGAGGTCACTATGGGTCGAAATGGACTTGACAGCAACTTTTTTTTTTTTTAACCTCCATTTATCTCATTTCATTTAATCATAGACCTCCCACAAGATTGAAAGGGACCCAGCAGGTCATCCAACACATTCCTTCCTCTGATTCTTGAAGTCCTTCATCAGTGGCCCATTTGGGCATACCTCTGCTTGCACACCTCCAGGGACAGGGCTCTCTCTACCTACCGAGGCAGCTCCTTCCATTTTCAAGCAGTGTCATTGTTAGAAAATTATTTTCTTTGATTCTCACGCCATCGCCTGAGGAGGCAGAGCTCCCATTTTTCAGATGGAGACACCAAGAGTGTAAGAGATTTGCCCAAGATAACATAATATTAAACAATTGGCCATTGACTAGAATCACTATTAGTGCTGTGTCCCAGGCCCTGTGCTAAGCATTTTACACGTGTTATCTCCTCTCACCAATCATATCAGCTAGATTTGTAATGTTCCTCATTTTACAGCCGAGGAAACTGAGGCTCAAAGAGGTTAAATAACTCACACAAGGTCACACAGACCTGGTCAAGGAAGTGCCCAGGACATTTGGGGCTTTGTCTTTCCCCTCACCCCCGCAGAGCTTGGCCTTGTGGTAGGTGTACAGTTGGTCCCGAACTGGTGTGGGAAGTCCCACCTGGAAACCCACGTGGCATTGCCCACCAGGCACCTCCTGTCCCTTTGCTGCTTCATTCCAGGTTTGGTGAAGCTGTGAGTGGCAACCTGGTGGTGGGGACACTGGCCTGGCCGTCTCCTTGGGTCATTGTCATTGGATCCTTCTTCTCCACCTGTGGGGCTGGGCTGCAGAGCCTCACGGGAGCCCCACGCCTGCTGCAGGCCATCTCCCGGGATGGCATAGTGCCGTTCCTGCAGGTCAGTGTGGGGAGCGTGAGCCCCCGAGAGTGGAGAAGAGAGCAGTCCACCCCCAACAGGCTAGACAGCCAGGCCCCTGCCCAGAGAGGGCAGGGCCGGCCCAAGGCGGCACAGTGAGCAGGGCCATGGCAAGCCCTGCCTCCTGGGGCAGTTCTGCTCTGTGCCACCGCTAAAGGGAATGGGTGTGCTCTACTGGGGCTTTGGCCTGTGATCAGCGCCATCTGTCTGGGCAGAATTGTCTGTTCTTAGGGGGAAAATGGCACTTCTTTGGCCCGTCGGTTGGGAAGGGACTCCAGGAGGCAGCTGAAGGGCAAGAAAAGGGTAGATCTCTCCATGGTGCTAAAAAAAGATTTATGAAGGACACAGCCATGGCCGCTTGCGGGCCTCCTGATAGCTCCTCTCCCATCTGTCCACTGGAGCTTCGTTTCCTCTTCAGGGATCATTTGAACTTCATTGTACCGAGGAAGCAATATCAGGGTGGGCAGGATATGGCAAAAGCCTGGTATCCCCTTGGGAGCCCCTGAGGATGGGAAGCACAGCATCCTTTCCCTTCCTCTCGCTGGTTAGTGGCTTCCTGCCTCTACTCCACTGGTTCCCAAGACTGGAGGAGAGGGACAAGAAGTCCTTAAGGTCTCAGGCCCCCTTGATGATTGCTGTGTCCTCAGGTCTTTGGTCATGGCAAAGCCAACGGAGAGCCAACATGGGCCCTGCTCCTGACTGCCTGCATCTGCGAAATCGGCATCCTCATTGCATCCCTCGACGAGGTCGCCCCCATCCTCTCTATGTGCGTGCCTGGCCTCTTGCCCTCCCCCTTCCTGGATCTCCCAGCTGTGACCCTTGACAACCTGCCCAGACACTTCCACAGCCCCAGGAGGTTCCCTGCGGGTCATAGAAACCCATCCTTTGTTACATAGAGATTCATACCCACATGTATTGAGGTGCATTGGAAGAACATTTGGCCTTTGAACTCTTCCTAAGTACCAGGACATGACTCGGCCACCTCTCCAGTTTCTTTTCCCCCTTTTCCTCTCTCATTCTTTATGTCTCTAGTTCAGTGTCTGCCTTCCCTTGCATCTCTGTCTCTCCCGGGGCCTTTCCGTGTTTTAGGTTTTTCCTGATGTGCTACATGTTTGTGAACCTGGCCTGTGCAGTGCAGACGCTGCTGAGGACGCCCAACTGGAGGCCACGCTTCCGATATTACCACTGGTGGGTGCCCCACCTTCACTCCACCCCCTGGGGACTGTCCCCTCATCTCCACTCCAAACCCTACCTCACTCTGGCCCACCTTTTCAGGTCTAAGGACCCCAGACTTGAATAGGGAGTTCCATTTTCTGCAGCTTTTGTAGCCCAACTAGCATGAGAAAGATCCTGGAGAGGGTCTCCTTATAATAATAAATCATAATATAACACTATCATAAACAGCCTCAGCTATCACCCCTTCCCTGGGCACAATGCTCAACCTCTTAGGAAGCTCTTACAACACAATATGGAAGTTAGAAGCCAGCTTGACCCAAGTTCAAATCATGACCCCCACACTTCCTGTCTGTGAGAGCTTGAGCTGATCATTTAACTTCTCTGAGCCTCAGTCTCCTCAGCTGTGAAATGGAAATGACAACTGAACCTACCTCATAGGGTTCTTGCAAGCCTTAGAGTGCTTGGTGCAGGCAAGGTGCTCACTATATGGAGGCTGCAGTTCTTATCATTCTACTTTATTACTCTTCATCCTCACAATAGGCCTGTGGGGGCGAGGACGGCAGGACTTGTTTTACAAATAAGGAAACTGAGGCTCAAAGAGGGGAAGAGACAGGCCCAAGGTCACTCAGCAAGGCTATCGCATAACTGGACTAGAACCCAGCTGCCTGACTCCCATCCCAGTGCTCCTTCTGCTTTGCCAGTGGCCTCTTACTGGGGCAGCCCTTCCTGGGAGGGACTGCCTCCAACTCTTCCCAGAACCCCTGCCTCAGAACCCGTCTGGCCAGGGCTGCTTGGCAGGGTCTAAGGCAGGGCAGTGGAGTGAGTCAAGGAGTTGGATGTGGCATGGGTGGTGCCCTGTCTGTGACCACTCATTTATCCAGAAGGCCCCCACGCCCCCTTGGTGCTCAAGGAGCTGATGCTGCGAGTTCTCCTGGTCTGGCTATAGCTTCCCAGGTCTTGCCCCATCTAACTCTTACTGTCTGAGCCCCAGCTCCAGCTGCAGTCCCACTAGGGCTCAGAAGTTGGTCTCCCTTCCGTTGTCCAGGACACTCTCCTTCCTGGGCATGAGCCTCTGTCTGGCCCTCATGTTCATCTGTTCCTGGTATTACGCCCTGGTGGCCATGCTCATTGCCGGGCTAATCTACAAGTATATCGAGTACCGCGGGTGAGTGTGGGAAGGAGGGGGGTGAGGCTGCAGGTTGGGAGGGAATGAGGAGGGGAAGGGATGACTGGTGATTAGGGTGGTGGGGTGGAGAGAAGCCGAGGAGTGCGGGAGGATGGGGATAGAGTGGAGGAGAAGGGATGATATGGGAAGGGTTTGGAGGTGGGGGATGGGAGCCGAGGGAGGGGCTGAGGCCTTGAGAAACGGACGGGGATGGTGAGAGAATGGATTTAGGAGAGACTCTCCAAAAGAAATTTATCCAAGGTTTAACTGAGTCAGATGGCAGGAGTGACTTGCGTGTCCTTTCTGAGCTTGAGATAGATGGCTCTGCCCTGGGGCCACCAGTTCAGTGGGGATGGTTCTCCCTGCCACTCCCTGGCTTTCGTGTGATCCGCTCCCTGGCCCCCAGGGCAGAGAAGGAGTGGGGCGATGGCATCCGAGGCTTGTCTCTCAGTGCAGCTCGCTATGCCCTCTTGCGCCTGGAGGAAGGGCCCCCGCATACCAAGAACTGGAGGTAGGTGGTGGTGGCCCATGTGTGAGGGACTCAGGGGAGGGAGGGGAAGGGGCCCAGGGCAGACCCATCCCACTTGCTTTGTTTCGCTGAGTGGCCCTTCGCTGGAGTTCCCTTAATGTCTCTTCACTGAAACCCAGTGTGGTTCCAGACATTTGTTTCCCAAAACCCCACTCAACAAGCCAGCCTCATGACCATGCATGCACGCATCCATCCATTCTATCATTTTTTCAAAAAATGTATGAATGCACGATATGTGCCCAGCCCCCTTCCAGTCTCTGGGAATGTAGTGAGCTCATAATTCCGCGAAGAAGTCACACACGGAAGCAGGTAAATATAACTTCACTTCGAGAGTTATAGAGGCTCTTAGGATTCTCTAGATTAATAACATAATCCATCCATTTTATTCACATGAAAATCAAGGACCTGAGAGGGTCTCAGAGGCCATGGAAGGCAGAACTGGAACCAGAATCTTTGCCTCTCACCTGTCAGCCCAGGGTGCTTTCTAACTGATTGCTCTGCATGCCCAAACCCTCATTCATCTCCTTAAGGGTCACTTTGCCAAGACCAAGGCCTGGAACTCTGAACGATGTCTAGGACATTGTTGGCTTGTCCTTGCTGATAGCTACTAAACTGGGGCTTCCAGAGACCAGGGCTTTGCTCTATTTGTATGTGAATCCTCAAATGCTTAGCACAAGGTTTAGCCCAGAGTAGGTGCTGAGAGAATGCTTATTAAATTGATGGGTGGGTGGGAGGATGGGATGGCTAAATGAATAAGGAAATGAACGTATAAGTATATGAGTAGATGGATAAATGTACATATGGGAGGATGGTTGGGTGAATAGATGGATGAGTGAATGGACGGTGGGTAGGTGGATGTGTGGATAGTTGAGTGAATAATAGGTAGGCAAATTAATATGGATATATGAGTGGATGAGTGAAAGATAAAAGAGATGGGTGGGTGGCTGGCTGGATGAGTGGGGTGGATGGATAGATGGATGGGAGGGTTGGTGGATGAATGCGATTGGGGAGTTGGATGGGTTAATATTCAAGAAAATGGATGGATGGGTGGATGGGTGTATAAAAGGATGGACTGATGAATGGTTAGGTGAATTGGTGATGGGTTGATGGTGGGTGGATGTTTGGGTAGGTAGTGGATGGATCATGTGACTCTGTGCCCTCTTCAGGCCACAGCTGCTGGTGCTGGTGCGTGTGGACCAGGACCAAAATGTGGTGCACCCACAGCTGCTCTCGTTGACCTCCCAGCTCAAGGCAGGGAAGGGCCTGACCATTGTGGGCTCTGTCCTTGAGGGCACCTTTCTAGAAAACCATCCCCAGGCCCAGCGGGCAGAGGAGGTGAGCAGGGTCTCGGTGAGGTGGGGGGAAGGCAAGGGCAGGCAGGAAGATAGTCTTTGTCCCTCTGCACTTTCTTTCCTTGCCTTTGGGATCAAAGGGGGCTCAGCCTTTGATGTCCTCCTCCTTAGAAGAGGAGCCTAAGGGCTCAGTGAGTGAGTTTCTTAGAATCCAACTCACAGAACTAAAGACCATCAGAGCCCGAAGGGCCCATTTTATGGATAAGGAAACTGAGGCTTAGAGAAGTGAGGTCAGTTGTCTAGGACAGAAAACTGAGACTCAAACTTAGGACTGCTTGACCTCTACTCCAGACTTCTTCCTGCCAAAGCATGCATCTTTCAGAATGTTTCACATCTGCAGGCTCCTTTGATCTCCACACCTTATGGGGTAGGCAGGGCTGTCTCCACATTTGGCACAGGAGGAAACAGGTTCAGAGGGGGAAAGGAGCTTGCTGAAAGTCACACAGTTGGCTAGAGCCATAGTCACGATTTGAACCTGGATCCCTGGCTCCTTGTCACATGCTGTTGTCCCCATCCACTGGCCCAAGATTCCAGCCTGGTGCTCACGGAGCAGAGTTCAGAGCTAGTGTGGCCTGGGGCGGGTGGTGTCTGCGTTAAGCATCACCGAATGGTACCCAGACCTGGTGGATCGCAGAGGAAGTGGGTTCTGTCTGGGATTCAGACCGGTCCCTCTTTAAGGCTGTGTCTAGGAGTGGAGAGAGAAAAAGGGTCATGAGGGAGGCGAGGTGAGACGGGTGGGGCTCCCCTAATGGCTTGTGACAGTTGCTGCTTCTGCCTCACTGGGCCATTAACACCAATTGGTCAGGGCCCAGAGCGGGAGGCCTTGAGTGGTCAGTTCAAATCAACATGCAGTGACTGAGGATGTGCTGTGTACCAGGCACTGGACTAGGCATGGGGGGAGAAGGAGATGTTTAAGACCAAGTCCCAGCCCTCAAGATGGTCACAGGCCAGTGGGGAAGATAGAACACACCCAGAAGTCTCTCAAACAAGTCAGTGTTTGCTAAGTGCTATGTTAAAGCTAGTCATGTGAGGGTAACCCAGTGTGGTGAGTGTTTCTGAATTGCAGGCACTATTCTAAGCCCTTGCTGGCAGCATGTCCTATAATTCTCCCTGTTCCTAAGTGAGGTGTGTGTCATTAGCTCTATTTGACGGATGAGAAAACCGAGGCTCTTCGAGGTTAGGTGACTCTCCCAAGGTCACACAGCCAGGAAGTGGCAGAGGTAGAAATTGAGTCCGTCTCTCTGACATCAGGGTTAAGAGTGTGGGGGCAGGAGTCAGACTCCCTGTGTTTGAATCCTCACAAAAATATCACAGGAAGAGCTGCCCCTGGTAAGAGGCCACTGGCAAAGCCAAAGGAGCACTGGGATGGGAGTCAGGCAGCCTGGGCTCTAGTCCAGTTCTGCGATAGCCTTGATGGGTGACCTTGGGCCTGTGCCTTCCCCTCTTTGAGCCTCAGTTTCCTTTACAGAACAAGCATGGTAATTCCTGTCCTGCCACTGCACCGGCCTATTATGAAATGAAGAGCTTCAATTTCCTCATCAATAAAATGGGAGCAATAAAGACACCTCCCCATAGTGCAGATTATGTGTACTTAAAATGCTTATGGTTATGCTACTCTTAAAAGTTTTTAGAACAAATTGTCTGGCCATGCAGAGAAGCCCAGTTTAATTCTAGTCTGGGTGGGGGCTGAGATCTGAAGGCAGTGAGATTTGAGTTGGGCCAGGCAGGGTGTAATGTACAAGGAGGTGTGGGCATGTCAGGCAGGGGGACCGTGTGAGCAGCAAAGGCAGGGTGGCGGGAGTGTGGGGTCCAATCATGAAGAGCCTCGATTGACAGACAAGGAATGGGGGCCACAGACAATGGGGAGCCATGCATGGTTCTGGAGTCAGGGCTGATGTGCTCAGAGCTGAGCTTCAGGAGGATCTGGAGAGATAGAGGGGAGAGACGGGGTTAGGGAGGCTGCAAGGGGCTAGGCCAGGCCAGGGAGTCTGAGCCTGGTCCTTGTCTGACCCTAGTCCATCCGACGCCTGATGGAGGCAGAGAAGGTGAAAGGCTTCTGCCAGGTAGTGATTTCCTCAAACCTGCGTGATGGCGTGTCCCACCTGATTCAGTCCGGGGGCCTCGGGGGACTGCAACACAACACCGTGCTTGTCGGCTGGCCCCGCAACTGGCGGCAGAAGGAAGATCATCAGACTTGGAGGAACTTTATCGGTAATGGCTGTTGGCAGGCTGTGGTGGGGCTGGGACAGTGGGGAGCGGGGGCAGGGCTCCCACCCCTTACCGGGTCTGCTTCTTTGGACCTGCGGGACTGTGCCCTAGGCATGCCGAGTGTGGATTGGGCGCATGGAGGTGACGGCGTTCAAAGCTGACCATGTGCCAGGCATCATGCTAGGTGCTGGGGACTCAGCCAAGAAGAAAACAGACAGCTTGGCTCTTATGAGGCTCAGTGTCCTGGGATGAAGACAGTGCTGGACAGTGAGAAGACCTCACTGTCACAGAGGCCTGGGTCTAAATCTCAGCTCTGGCGCCTCCTAGCCGTGTGATTGTGCAAAGACGACTCACCCTCTCTGAGCGTTAGATTCCTAGGTGATAGTTGGTCATGGTAACATAATAGCTAACATTCATAGGGGGCATACTGTGTGCCAGACAGATTAGTTTTTTTCCTCAAATTCCCTAATTCTCTCAGCTGTCCTGTGAAGGGTAGGCACTGTTATCTCCATTTTGTTAGTTGTGAAATTGAGGCACAGAGAGATTAAGGAATTTGTTCCAGGTCACACAGCTGGTAAGCCAGGATTGGAACCAGCCCACATCCTGCATTGTCAACTCCAGGCTATTCTCTCTTCGAAAGATAGATCATTGTTATAAGACTGTTGCATGGTTAATTATTATCAGAAAGGGCAGGAAGTGTTATTGCCATTTGACAGGTGGGAAAACTGAGGCCCAGAGAGGTTGAGGGAGTTTCCCAAGTCCAGACAACAAAGATGTGATGAGGCCCAGGTAGATGTGTGCTTTCTGACTCCTCAACCCGAGGCCAAGGCCAGGCGGGGTGGGGTGCTGGGTGCCCGGAGCCCCTGTGGCTGCTGCTAGTGCCGGGAAAGGACTAGAGTCACTGTTTCCCCCTCTGGTCCTCTCCTCGGCCCCTCCCAGAGCTGGTCCGAGAAACCACGGCTGGCCACCTGGCCCTGCTGGTCACCAAGAATGTTGCCATGTTTCCTGGGAACCCTGAGCGCTTCTCTGAGGGCAGCATCGACGTCTGGTGGATTGTGCACGACGGGGGCATGCTCATGCTGCTGCCCTTCCTGCTGCGGCACCACAAGGTGGGTGTGGGCATGCACGTGGGCACGTGCACGTGAGTGTGTGCACGCGTGTGTGTTTGCAAATGTGCACATCCATGAGCGAGGCTCATAGCCTCTGGCCAGGACTGGCCTCCATGTCCGTCCTTCCTTGTGAGCTCCTGGGAGAGTGAGCCCACAAGCTGTTTCATTCTGAGATGTTAGGAACGGATTGCGTCTCCCTTCCAGGTGCCCTTGCGTTTTAAGGAGCGCAATGCCTAACCCAAGCGAGTGGTACTTTCATGGGGGAACTGCAAACCCAAGCAGGGGAATCTTTGTAGGGAGTGGCCCTTGAGATAGAGGACTTCAGGTCTGCGTGCGGGGAAGCGGGGGCGGTGGCGGGGAGCAGGAGAGGACAGGGTCCTCGCTAGGTTCTGGCCCTGGGTCTCCTCACTGCATCTGGGTCCCCCACCCCTTTGCAGGTCTGGCGGAAGTGCAAGATGCGTATCTTCACGGTGGCCCAGATGGATGACAACAGCATCCAGATGAAGAAGGACCTGACCACATTCCTGTACCACTTACGCATCACCGCAGAGGTCGAGGTGGTGGAGATGGTGAGTCCTCCCTCAGGAGCCCCCTCAAAGTTTGGGAGTCCCACCTGGGCCTCTTCCCTCTTGGCCCCAGCACCAAATAGGGCAACCTCAACACCCATCAGTTTATGGTACTAGATCCCTTCCCCGAGTCCCATCCTCACCTCACATATCCACCCGGGCATTCATCCATCCATCCCTCTCTCCATTATAAGCCCAACCATGTCTAATAGTTCTTAGTATATGCTAGGCACTGTTCTGTGCACTTTCTATAGGTTAATTCTCATAACAGCCTGTGAGATAGATACCATTATTATCAGCATTTCCATTTTAGAGGTTAGGAAGTTGAGGCACAGAAAGGTTAAGTAATATGCCCCACAACACACAGGAAGTCGCAGAGGCAGGACTCATACCAGGCAGGCTGGCTGTAGAGTCCGTGCTCCTAACAGTTTCATTGCACAGCCTCTCATCCGTCCGTTCACCCTGGATTATTTCTCCATGCACCCAACCCTCTGTGTATTCCTTAATCTACCCATATATCCATTGATTTATTCATTCACTCCCTCACCTATTCAGTCATCCATGTATGTATTCATTCATCACTTTTTTCCTTTTTTATTTCTTCCCTTTCTCCATTCCCTCCATTCACCCAGGAAAGTAATTAATCCACTCATTCATTAATTCATTTGTTCACACACCCGGTCCTGTACTGGGCTGAGGAGGGAATAAGATGCCCTTCCTTCTAGGAGCATCACCTCTGCTCCATCCTTGCCACCCCACCACTTGATTAAACCAGCTAATTGGCTAAGGTAGAAGGAAGAGGACCTGCCTCCCTCCCCCTTGGCCTTGCACATTAGCTCCAACCTCATGCTTTCCTTCCTGGCCCCTCACCTCGCCCCCACCCCGTCTGCCCGCAGCATGAGAGCGACATCTCGGCTTACACCTACGAGAAGACGCTGGTGATGGAGCAGCGCTCTCAGATCCTCAAACAGATGCATTTAACCAAGAATGAGCGGGAGCGGGAGGTGAGGTTGCCCTGGCTGGGCTCTGAGAGCCTCAGGCTGATGCCAGCGCTGGGTATGCACAGGTCTGGGATGGCCCAGGGCTGCCACTCCTGGCCATTGGCACTGCCACCTTCGCCTTGCAGCACTACTCATCACTCTTATCCCCCCCAAGCCCTCCTCCCGACACTGGGCTCCCGGCAGTGGGCACATACTGCAGCTGCACCTACCAAGCCCCCCAACCAGTATTCAGAGGGGTCTGGGCATGGATGACAGAGATTCCACCCTGTATGTGGCTTCCGGGGCCAAGGGAGAATGTTGTTGCTGTTGTTGGGTGCCAATTCCGACACATCATGACCCCGTGTGACAGAGTAGAACTTCCCCATAGGGTTTCTAGGGTGTAATCTTTATGGGATCAGATCACCAGGTCTTTCTCCTTCAAGGGAGAATAGTGGGTGCTAAATATAGGTGGAAGATCCCCAGGGATGGATGATGATATCTCAGGGGTGTGGGCTTCTAGTTGGGGGATAAGGGTTCATGTAATAGATCCTCAGAGAGTGGGTAACAGATGGATATTTAGGGATATAGGGGATGGGGAAAAATCTCCTAGAGTGTGGCTGCTGGATTCTCAGGGGTAATGGTGATGAGCCCCCCGTGGTGTATGGGTGTAAGACCCCCCAGTTGTGGGTAATGTGGGATCACTTGTCCCCCAGAGTATGGATGAAAGACCCACCCCAGGGTGCGGTTGCAGGTCCTTGGGGGAAATGAGTGATGATATCTCAGGGGTGGGGACAGAAGGACTCCCGGAGGTGGATGACAGGTTGCTTGGGAAGTGGGTGGCAGCTCCCATAGGTGAGGGTGACAGAATCATGGTTGATGGGTTCCCCAGGTACGGATAATGTATTTCTCAGAACGTGCTGATGGTTCCTCAAGGAATAAGTGATGGGTACCCCTTTGAGCTGGGACAAATGGAGGTTATCCGGGGTGATAGTGAAGATTTGACACTGGACCATAGCACTGGGGGAGAGCCTTGAAGGTTACTTGCTGTGCCAGGTGTTAACCCTTTGGCTGCTGGATGGTGGGGAGGTCAGGGGTTCTGGAGAGGGCTTGGGGTGGCCAGGTCAGTGGAGCAGTTTGCTGTGGAATCACTGCAGTATTTTTAATAACTGATACAGTGCCCGGAAGTGTGCATCCTGGCTGAACGTCAGCTTTGGTGGTAGCTCGTTGCAGGGTGTGGGTGGTGAGTCCCACCCAGCAGAGCTGGTGCCAACCTGTGTCACTTCCTAGATCCAGAGTATCACAGATGAGTCTCGAGGCTCAATCCGGAGAAAGAATCCAGCCAACACTCGGCTCCGCCTCAATGTCCCAGAAGAGACAGCTGGTGACAGCGAGGAGAAGCCGGAGGAGGAGGTATGCAGCTGGGGTGCTCTGGCCCCAGCCAATGGGAGCAGACCCTTTGGCCTCCAAGAGTCACCTGTGTCCTTTCATTCATTCCTCAGGTGCAGCTGATCCATGACCAGAGTGCTCCCAGCTGCCCTAGCAGCTCACCGTCCCCAGGGGAGGAGCCTGAGGGTGAGGGTGAGGCAGATCCTGAGAAGGTGCATCTCACCTGGACCAAGGACAAGTCGGCAGCCGAGAAGAATAAGGGCCCTAGCCCTGTCTCCTCCGAGGGCATCAAGGACTTTTTCAGCATGAAGCCGTATGGGCCTGGGGGCTAAGGGCTGGGGGCTGGGGTGAGCCCAAAGGGATTTTCCTCCCTATGGTAGAGCAAAAGAGCAGGAGTCCTGCCTGGTCTGGTGGTCTGGGGACCCAGCCCAGACATTGTCTTGGCTTCCCCATCTGAGGCCTAGGGGGTTCTGGCTGACTGCTAGGGGTCAGAACTCCCAGAGGCAGGGAATAGAGAGGTGATGGATGTGGGGGCTGGGAGACTGGGACCGTATTTACTCAGGACAGATGCTGGTGGCTCAAGCCCCCAGCCTCTCCCTCCTTCCCTGACCTCTCTCCTTTTCTTCTTCACTCTGCTTTCCTTGTGTTTCCTGAAGGGAGTGGGAGAATTTGTAAGTGCCTCAGAGTTTTTTCATTGTCTCTTCTGGGTAGACCAGGGCCCTTGCTGTGGTCATTCCATCATGAACCCCCAATTTATGCTCAGCCCGGCTTGAAGAGATCTGGGCGTGGTGATCCCCGGTGTGCAAGGACCAGGTCTCAGCAGCCTAGTCCGGCTGGGACTAGGTGGGCGACTGGGATCATCTCTTTCTTTCCCGAGGCTCACTCACCCTATCCTCTCCTCCCTCCCCCAGGAACCAGTCCAACGTGCGGCGCATGCACACAGCGGTGCGGCTGAACGAGGTGATCGTGAAGAAGTCCCGGGACGCCAAACTTGTTTTGCTCAACATGCCGGGGCCTCCCCGCAACCGCAACGGGGACGAAAACTGTATCCTGGACTTAAAATTGGGGGGAAGGGAGAGGTGCACGTCAGGGGAGCCAGATCCTGGCCCGGGGCTGGAAGAGTTAGCCGGTCCTGCTTCAGGATCAGCACCTCGGACAGGGACGCGGGCGCAAGAATCCTTTCGGCGGAGCGCGCTCCCAATTCCTTGGGGAGGGAAGGAGAGCCAGTTTTTCTCCTTGATGGGCGTTCAGACATGGAGTTCCTCGAGGTCCTCACCGAGCATCTGGACCGGGTGATGCTGGTCCGCGGCGGCGGCCGCGAGGTCATCACCATCTACTCCTGAGAGCCAGGATCTGCCACCCGGGCCGAGCGCGCCCAGCCCGCGGCCCCGGAGCCCTTGCCGCGCCCCCCGCCGCTGTCACCGTTTACATACAGACCCTGTGCCCGCACCCCGGCCCCTTCCCCCGCTGCCTGAAGCCCGGGGCCACGCCCGTCGGGGCTGACCCGGAGAGGGCGGCCCCCGGCGGCTCCTGTCTGTTGGCCGGCTGCTCTGCCCTTTTTCTGAGCCCGACCTTGCCCCGCCGGAGGAGAGGCTGCAATAAAGGGCGGGAGGAGGCACGGGAGCAGAAGACCTTTGGCTGGCCGTGCGGCCCCTACCCACCGAGCGGGGCCTGGGCCTGCCCCGACCCCCGCACAGCCTCCGAGAGCTCGGTGGCCGACGCCGTGGGGTGGCCGGCCGGGCTCCGATCTTCGCTGTCCCTTCCAGCCGAGCCGCGGGGGTCCGGCCGGGCCTATACATAGTGTACAGGAGACATCGCGTGTATTTTTAACGTCCCCATATTTATGTGACTAGAAAGCGCAACAGTCTTCTCGCTACCGTGGAGTGCGCCCGCTGGGGCCGAAGCCTCGGGAAGCTGGGTTTTCCTGGGCGTCCGACAGTCTGAGAGCGAAAGTGCTGTAGGCCCAGGCAGGGGTCGTGGTCCTGGGCCTGCGACACCTCCGCGCCACTCTCGCCGCCTCACCTTTTCCGCGCGCCCTTGGCTTCCGACCCTTCCCTCCAGGTCTTCTCGGAGATGAAGTGAGCGAAGGGTCCACCTTTTCCTGGACTTGCCTCCCAGCGGACGGGAGCTTCCACGGCGCCCGCAGAGACGCGCGCAGCCTCTTCTCCTCGGCTCGTCTTCAAGCTGGGCCAGGATGGGAGGGACGCTCCTCGAGAGGGGAGAAACCGAGGAAGCCCCGCCCCGGTGCCTTCGCTAGGGGAGCAGGCGTCTTTCCTGTCGGCTTGTCTCCTGCTCCCCCTACCCCATGTCTCCTCGCCAAAGACTGAAATCAGGGAGCTGGGGGGCGCCCCCTCTCCAGAATTTCCTCCCTATGTCAGGTGAGGGGTGGGGGTGATTTTCATTTAGGAGCCGGACCCACTGGGAAGCCCCATTGCTGTCCCTGATGTTCCCTCCCTTGCCCCATCTGGCAGCTCTGGCCTCGAGGATCCGGCGGCCTTCGCGTCCCAGGGAGCCGGGCCTTTCTGCCTAGCATCGCCTCTAGCTCCGTCTCCCAGGCACCCGGGCCGGGGGAGGGCTGGAGTCACTCCGCGGGTTGTTCTTAGCACCTCCCTGCTCTCTTCCAACCAGGACCCAAGGCCTTTAGCTTCCCTAACTCCAGTCCTTGGCCCTTCCGCTCCACTAGCCCGGTCGGAGGCGCCCTGTCCCTAGAGAAGGCGCACTGGCCGGGATCCCTTCCCCCAGGGCACGTCAATAAGGCGGAGAGGCACTGCATGCTCGTTCCAGCGCCCTCTGGGACTAGGTACAGTACCTTCAGCCCCAGGTCCCTGGCCTGCGCACCTAGTTAAGACATCTTGCCCACATCCCAAAGCTTGGGCCACTGGGTACTCCTGACCTCACCACCTCCTTTCCTTTGAGCCCAAGGCAGAAAAGCTGATGTCATCCAGACCCAGTCAGGTGTGGCTGGAGGCCAGGGAAGTCTGTGGGTTAGGCCAAGGCCTCTATGAGATTTGATCAGGGGACTGGAGGGATCCTTCCATGTACCAGTCAGAAAACTGGAGGTGTCAGACACCAGCCCCCTCACCTCCAAAGACCTCCTTCTGAGAACCACAGCCCTTCTGCTGTCCTGAGCATTCCTGGGCTGAAGTGGGGGGCTGGGCAGAAGGTGAAGGGGGCTGCATCAATACCAATTAGGGAACCAAAGTTGCACTATTTGGGCCCAGACTGTCTGGCGGGCAAGAGCAGTTTCCGTTGATGAACCAAACATACAACAAAAACCCAAGTTTTCTGTGCTACATGTGCAATATTTGTTACGAATGTTCTCAAGTCATTCATTAAATTCTCTTTACAAACACTGTAGCTAGATGTTTTACGTCCATTCACGTGACTTTTATTCTGAGTGCAATATTTCAATAGCCTTGTAGTGATACTAGTGTTGCTTTTGTTTTAGACGATCTATGTGCAGGGCAATGCAATGAAGTTGAAAACTTGTAAATAGAAGAGGTTGCACACCAAATCAAGATATTTATTACTATTATTATTAGGCCTGCCTTTTACTTTTCAGTGTTTCAGTATTCCGCATTTTGCCTCAGTATTGATCTTGTGTTCTTTGTGCCAATATGAAAAGCAGAGGGTCGGTTCTTTCCTTTATTGTTGAATGCTCCCATTTAATGCTTTACAGCTTTTACTGTATTAATTTTTTAGACTCCCGTCTGCACAAAATGCAATAAAAATAATTTTATTATACCCTTTATGGCCTGAGGTGTGCTGTTTGGACACTTGAGGAGGGAGAATTTGTGGATGGAGAGAGGGGTATTTAAGGTAGCCTTCTAGGACCCTAGACTCTTAAATCATAAACACTGACCTTCACTGACAGAGATGGGTGGGGTCCCCAAGTCTGGCTGTCTAGTTTGACATTGTGGGACCCTGTCCTGGAGGGACAAGGGGCCAGGCAGCAGGGGCTGGTGGAGAGCTGCACTAGTATCACTGTGGTTAGCTCTTCTGAGGTCAGGCTCTGAGCTCTTAGCATTTTGATCCCTAACCTACTGGAGGCTTTGTGCCAGTCACTTCACCATACCCATTGTACGTCTGCTGACGGGATGGCTATTAAATGCTCTCCAAGGCTCCTTCTAACTCTGTCATCCTAAGGTTCTGCCAACTCCCTGCACAATGGGCAGAACAGAAGGGGGCAAATGATATGGGATCAGATCAGGGAGTGCCCCCACCACTGGCCACCACCCAGAAGTGATGTCTTCGCGGTCCCATTTTCCTTTCCTGGAATAACAGGACAAGACTGCCGACACACAAAGTCTACCAGAAGCAAGGAAGGCTGTTTAACCAGCATTGTAATTAGCCAGGAGGCTTTTGCTCTGATCTGTTATTAAAGCTTCTAACTAGGTGAGCTGCATAGGAAGGAAGTTAGGGTCAAAAGATGTTTTCAGGCCTGACCACACAGGTTGAGGACAAGAGGCGGCAGGCCAGAGAGGCAGACTGAGGCTCCCTCAGGGACCCCCAACTACTGACCCTGTGAAGGAGCCCCCCAGAAAGAGGTACTGTAGATATTTACACCCAAAAAAAGATGAGCACAGCTTTTACTTTTTCATTTTAATTAAAAAGTAATCATTTCAGTTTATCAACAACACAAGAATTTCAAAGAGGAATAAAACAAAAACAAGAAAAACACTATATAACACAAATAGGTCAGAACAAAATGCTGCCATCTGGGGACCTTGAGTTTTTGAAACCATTGTTTGCTCAGCCACCGGCAGGGACTCAGCTGAAGTCACTGTTTTCTCTTGCCCCTGCCAGGGGCCCTGGAGACTGTGATCCACAGGGCTCTAATGAGCACCATCCTGAGGAAGAGTGCAGCTTCCTTTGGCTCCATTTTAGAGCAGCAGCCAGAGGCCCTCCTTCAAACAATTTCATTTCTGGCTCAAAACTTATGAATGGTTGCCTATATTGAGAATATATCCAGCCGCCAAAAGTCTGGTATCAAAATGGTCCCTGCCCCCTGCTGCTCAGAAAACAGAACAAGAATCTAGATGAAAACAAGGGCCTGCTTTTTGAGCCAAAAGCTCAAAACAATCACTGAAAACAATGAGTGTTCACTGCCAGAGTCTAGAGTTGCCTCCTCAGAACTGACTCTACGAACCTACCACTGCGGGGAGACACTGGCAGAGACGCTAGGGGTAAAGATGCTAGGGGTAAGAGTGGTTGGGCCCAGATTCAGTCTGTGTTAAACTTCTGGTGCCTAGAGCTGTTCAGTCCACTGGAGACCCTCCAACTAAATGCAAAGAAAAAAGAAAATCAAAACCAAAACCAACCACCCCGGTGCAGGCAGAACAGTTCCTGCTCTGTGGCTGCCACAGGCACTCAATAACCCCAGAGCAGCTGATTTATGCATCCTCAAGCTGCCACCCTCAGCCCTGCTCAATACATGTGGGACAGGGGCATGTGACAGTGTACCTGCCAAACACAGTCAGCTACCCCGCAGGCTGGACAGCACTGCAGGTGGGAGCTTGAGCTCTGGTCAGCATGTGCTAGGTGGTTAAGTGGTAGGCTAAAGATGAACAAAGCTAGTGGCTGCTGACGTGATAAAGGCCACTCTAAATTCAGCCAGTTGGTGCCTGGTTTCTTCTTCCTTTCCTCCCCTAAATCCAGCTGATATAGGGACCAAAGAAACCCATCAAATATAAACCGAGCCCAGACACCCAACTACCCCAGAGATATTTATTCTCTAAAAACAAACAAACCAACAAATGCAGACTCTCGAAGGAATAAGCAACACAGCCGTGGGCAGAGAGCAGGCGGTAGAAACTTACGACATTTGATGTGGACCTGGACAGGCGCAAAGAACATCTTCCAAACAACTCTATTTAGAACGCATAAACGGGAGGAGGTCAGGGGATGGAGGGACTGGGGGCAGTTGAGAGATTCAGCCTCAGTAATGCCTCTGGTAAGATCCCAAGGGGGCCTGGGGCTGGCCCACCTGTGCTGTGGTTTGGCTAACCAGGTGGGAGAGAGCAGGGCCACTCTGGATTAGGGTGTCCAGAGCCTTCTGTACACTTGGATTGTCAAAGTTGATACCTGTGGAAGACACGGGCCTCTGGCTAGCCATTTTGCTGGCAGATGCCAGGCGACTGGAAGGCTGGCCAAAGAGCCCTTGGGAAGGAGCCCCAGGCCTGGGGCCCATGTTCCGGGCAGATCCTGCCTGTCCCAAAATGTTTGGAGGCTGACTGCCAGAGGCCTGTGATCTTTGCTGAGGCTGGCTGTTCGCTGCCGTGGAAAAATTCTGGTTCTGAGCGCTTCCGGCAATGACTGAGGGGGATGCAGAGCTGCTATTGGCTGCAACCGTGCCGCTATTGAAGAGGCTGAGGATTTTGGCCTGAAGCTCTTGCTGGGAGGTGGAGGTTACAGCTGGAGTGGGTGGAGCAGAGGGGAGAGCTTGGCCGCTCTGGAGGGGTTGGGAGCTTGGCTGTGTCTTCAGTGAGGCACCCGAGGTCGCCCCGAGTGGCTGGCGGGAAATCGTGCCTAGAAGACAAGAGGAGGAGGTATCTGGTTGAAAGTACCCCTCAAGGGCAGCCAAGGGAAGAACAATTATCACTGAGTCACATTAATCACACAGTACACAGACGATACATCAATTTCCCAAGGGGGCTACTTCATGGTAAGTGCTGTTTCCAGAAAACAGCCTAGTTTCTCCAGAGAATGACTTAAAAAAAAGGGGGAGGGGGGCACACATTCTGGCTACCAGGCAGCCAGCAGTACTAGTCTAACCCACTACCACATTAACCCCAGGGGTCAGAATTCAGTACCCAAATCTTAAGTTATCGTATCAGCAGGGATGGCCCATGGGAGAGCCCAAGAGATGGGCTCCTTTCCCTTACCCACCCAAAAGGGCCCGGGGCCTGCCACCCTCCCAACAGAGTCTGGGGATTAGAGAAATGCAGAGTCAGAACTTCACCTCGGCCCTGCCACGTAGCTCACCAGGCAGAGAGTCGGTGCTGCTCCTCATAAGCCGCTCCTTCCGCTCTCGCAGGTAGTTGATGATCTTGTCAGTCTCTTCGGCAGTGAGGTACCTGTTGTCTGCCAGCAGGTTGATGAGGCTCTGGATGGCTGGAGGGTGCCCTCCTCGCACTCCCTCCTCGGGGCCTCCTCGCTCCCTTTCTTGTATGATGGCCTCATCAGCCATTTTGGCTGCCTGTCTGGCAATTTCTTCATGTTCCTTCTCCCGGCACTCATTCTTGTAGCGCTCATAATTCCTGGCCACCAGCACCATGGCATCTGCCTGGGGCATGTTGCGATGCTCTGTGGGAGGAAATGACATGAGTTACTTTCTCCCATGACAGATCTGAGTGCCCACCTGCTGGACTCTATCGAGCCTTTCCTAACCTCACATCAGCAAGAAAACCATTTCAGTGACAAAAAGCCTTGGAACTGGGGGGAGGGGGCGAAGGGAGATGAAGGTCAGGAAGAGAGGTGAATGGATCTCTTTGGTGGGGAATGCGTACCTTTGTACAGAGCTGTTTCTTTGGGGAATTCCTAGATCACAGACTTGTAGTAAAAACCAAACAAACATGACAGCCTCCCACAGGTTCAAACAGATCACGTGGAGAATAGCCACGGGAGGCAGCCCAGCAGCTCTTAGACCAGCAGCGGGAAGGCCAAAGAGCCCCTCTGGAAACCCTGGCTCTCCACTGTGCTTCTCAGGATGGAGCTGGCCTACTGTTTCCGAATCTATCAGTTCAAACTTCACTGACCATCAAAGGTCATGGATTAAGATCAAAGTGTGACCCTAAATAACCTCCTCTCCTCACCCCTGGGCAACACGGCTTCCATGGTGTGGAGAGGACTTCTCAGAACTTATATAAATCTCCTTACACATCTTGAGGACTATTCCTCGAAGACACAACTGACCCACTGGAGTGCTATATGTATTCTATGGTTATGGGTGTAACTGGTCAGACAAATAAGAGATCCTGAGTGTTGTGGCGAAAGGGAAAAGTCTGTCCTGTGGCACCATGTGCAGTACGAGCCCTGAGGAGGGCAACAGTTGGCCGAGTCTCAACCTTCTGAGCTCAAAGTACTAAAACTACTTCAGGGTTCAGGGAAGAACTTCAAGCAATCTACCCTGAGCCTGGGGGTGGGGGAGGGTCAGAGCACTTGCAAACAATATTAAGTGCCTGTTATTCCTCTCTGTCTTCCATTAGAAAAGTTAGCTGAAAGCAAGGATTCTATGGCAGTCAGTGCTGTACAAGCCAGAGGTGTACTGGAGTCAGTCAGCTCACTACTGAGTGTCGACTATGTGCATCTCTTTAACTACCCCTTCAGTGATTCCAAGCTGGAGGCTTGCTACAAACGAGAGCCCCCACCCCGACAACTGGTTGTTAAACACATGCCAGCATGCCAGTGGAAGAATATCAGATGACAAAGTGACTATGCAAGTCTCCTCCGGTCCACTTACAGAGAGGCTCTATCATATTTGAGCTGAAACACATATCATTTGCCCAAAGCCTGCTTCAGACTAGTGACTACTCCTGAATTCTGACCCACGTGAGGATCTGTACCTTGTGGGGTTCCAAACATGATGTTGACTGTGCAGGAGCGGTGTATCTGGTGTTGCTGGGTGATGACAATAGCAAAAGGAGACCCTCCCCTGCTGACATCCTCCAAGGCTTGTGACAGTGACACCTCTGTGTTGAGGAAGATCAAGTCCACCACCATGCCTAGGTCTCGCACCTTCCGCCCCACAGATTCAGCATAATCTCTGGAGAAACAAACAGGATTGAGGTGAGCACTCTCTGATTTGGGACCAACTCTAAATTTCTTTATTGCTTCTCCTCAGGCAGCTCCATGCTCATAGGGGAACTCGAACCCTAGTGCCCTCCTCAGGCTCTAAGGATCTGGACCAACTCCCTCTCTTTACACTGGCTCAGTACTACTGTCACATGCCTGAATCACACAGGAAGCTGCCAGGAGCATGGTATTTAACAGCCAGGTCCTCCCCTTGATTCTTTAGTCCAGCTGTCCTTCCTTAACCATCTTGCTGTCTAGGCCTGTGGCACATGGCTCTTTGAGAAAGCTGTATGACACAATGGAAAAGCACAGGCTTTAAAGCTAGAAAGATGGGTCTGGATTCTAGTTCTACCGTTTAACTTGCAAAGCTGTGAAGACTAAAGCAAGACCCTTTACCTCTTATAAACCTCGGTTTCTTTACCGGTAAAACAGGAATAACATGGTTCAGGTCATGTATCATTTCCTTGACCTTCCTTAAATCTAAATTAAATCCGATAAGTCAATTCTCATTATTCGTGGCAGTTATGTTCTATAAAGTCACTGCAAATACTGAATTAACAAATGTTAAGCCACTGTTCCTGGAGGAAAGGTTAGGTTAGGTTCCTGTGAGCTTCTGGTCACAACATTTTCATCAATCGATCTATTTAAAGACACCATATTAATATATATGGTTGATTCACTAACACTGAACTCACGGCCAACAGCACTCATGCCCGAATGAAGCTTATCTAACACGTGTTTTCTCCATAAGGCACAGCACAGCCTTCTTGAGCTAGATAGCACTTGAGTATTATGCTTTGGGGACATCTTAAACAGTGAAGTCACCAACAAAAAGCACAAAAACGCAAAAAGCATGCCACTAAATAGGCTGCAAAAAGGATACTTGTTTATAGCATGAGAGCTGAACCAAGAAGGCAGAGCATCTCCTGGTTTGAACTCAGCTGGGAACATGTGCGCCAAGCAAAGTTAAATTTTCACCACTCTGCACATGTCTACGACCACAGAAGTGCCCAAGTATTGATTCTGGGGTTACAAATAAATGTTAGCGAGCAGGTGAATTCACAAATATGGAATCTATGAATAATGAGGATTGACTGTATTTTCTTCACATAGCACTCATTTTTGTCATCTGCCCAAGGAGGGTATAAGCTACACAACAGGAAGGGGCTATATGTCTGCTCACCATTAGAGCCCCAGTTCCTAGCATCTGCTATACATTTAGTTACTCTTAAAAAAATCTGCTGAATGACTGAACATGTAACATGATTATTGTAAGGATTAAAAATAATTTATGTAAAGCACCTAGTATGGGGTAGTTACTAAGTAGGTGCTCAGAAAATGATAGCTATTATCACTTGTTAAACAGACGCTATCTACAGTTAAAGGAGCATCTATCTCTGAACAAGGCGGCTCAGGGCCTGTGAACTGCCTGTTGCTTGGTGTCTCAACACCTACTTCCCTAGTCACTCCCTTGAAATTAGCTCTTTGACCCCAAACTGCTAGAAAACATATGAAGTTATTTGCTAACCACCTGGGGAAACAGAATATAGCTAATGCCAAGCCTGAAAGCTACTATATCCTCTCTGCTTCTCTGCTCTGCCTCTTGGAGGAGAGAAATGTAAAACAGGGCGAGCAAAATGGTGCTGTGAACTCTGGCTTGACTAACATGGTCACCTAACAGTTCTGCAAGGCCATGGCACTTCACCAGGAAGACTATCTTGGCTGACAAATAGAGAGACATGTGCCTCCCAAATTACCAGGATTTGGGCTCATCCCATGAAGAGGGTACCTACTGCTTTGCCTGACCAGCATCCATTCCCTCTTCATTTTGCAGTTGGAAAGGCACCCCTCTCCTACTCAGTCCACATAGTTCTACAGGGCTGATCCTACCTTTAGGTCTAGGATGGGCATATGACTTAGGCCTGGCCAATCAGAGCATTCCAGCAACCCTGGCCAAAGTGACTGGTTTAGGAATGGGAAAGTGAGCTAGAGAAACAATTGTTCAATGAGAAACAATCCTAGGACTTTTGGAGGAAACACTGGGAAAGAGAAGCTCTCTTTCTACTGGGTCTGCCAGGCTAAGAAGATACATGTCTGGGGGCCAGTGCCATTCCGCCTTTTTAAGTAGAAAGCCTGCCTGGGAATGAAGGCAACACTGAGGAAAGCAGCATTGAGAGACCAACACAGAGACAAAGTCTTGAAGGCATACTTTCAGACCCTGAATCTGGCCATGCCTAGACTTTCTGTTACACAAATCCCAAATTTCCCTTTTGGGCTTAAGCCAGTTTTAACTGGATGTTCTGTCACCCACAGCTAAAAGAACTCTGGCTAATGTAGCAGCACGGCAGTGCCAGAATACATAGCCCAAGTTCAGTGGGTAGAGCCAAGAGGGAGCCTGAATTTCTCTTCTGATTTTTCTCTTCCTGGGGAGAAATATCCAAAGGGTTCTTACTTAGTCTGCTTGTTGACCACAATCACAGAACAATCGACAGGCCTCTCAGCATCAAAGCGTCTCTGGATTTCATCAAAATATTGACGATAAAGCTCTTCCCTACGCCGTTCCTCACGTTTCAAACGCTCTGCAAGATACCACCAGGAGAAACTGAAATAAGGACCGTACGCTTCTACAAAAACAAGCCACAGGCCTTATTTTAAATCCCGAACTACTTTTAGGCAAGGGTCATAATACATATATTCTCTTTGAATTAATCCTCTAGTGTAACACCTAAAAATATCCAGCATTAATTTTTTACTATTGTAAATTTCTCAAAATTGAGTGACTGGGTTAAAGGGCATAGTTATTGTAATGCTTCTGATACATATGCCTAACTGCCCTCTAGAAAGGCTGTACAAATTTATACCTCCAGAGGTGGATCTTCTAGTGTCTGCTTCTCTATACCTGAAATTAACACTGGGTATAATCATTCTTTTTAATTTTTCCCAATTTGATAGGTAAAAAAATGGTATTTCATTATGATTCTAATTTGCATTTTTTGGGGACAGCTATTTAAGACTTTGATAGGTGCCTGTAGTTTACTGACTTTTTTTTTTTTTTTAAAAAATATCAGGTACCAAATATTTACAACAAATTAAAATGAGGTTCTGAAACATCTCGACTTGATCGGGTATGAAATGATTTAAAAACCTTTAAAGGTGTATTGAGAGTAACAAGCTTTTAACATGTTTGTCTTTACCTTTAGGCAAAAAGTATAAAAAAGACTTATGCTGTATAGAATATGAATAATTCTAGTTATCCAGTCAATGAGGAAAAAAATCAAGTTAAAGCCTACATCACCAATTTTTTGTTCTCTTCTTACTGCTGGAATTTCATACTTATTTCTTCTTGTTGGATGACTAAACCAGATGATGGTATTCATTTGCATTTAAAAAGTATTTTCAAGCTGAATGTTCTCTACACACTTATAGGCTGTTTGAATTCTTCTTTTTGTGAACTGCCTGGCCAAGTCATTAGTTCTTTTTCAGTCAGGGTGTTAGTTGTTAGTTTCCTTTTCCTTTTGTAAACTGTTCTACCAGTAATAGGAAGAGACTGGTTTCTGCTACTTTACCTTTTGTACGAGACTGACTTTCTGGGCCTGGAGGGCCTCGCCCATCATAGCTATCTCTGTAACGGTCAAAGTAAGAGTCACTCTTCCTCCTGCAATAATCATCCACGCGCAGGTATCGGTCGTAAGAGCCTTCTCTCCTGAAAAGTTAAGGAAATTTGCACAAAGTTAAAACTCTGTCCTTTCCTCAAAAAAATCAGATACAAAGAATTCTTCAACATCTGGTCCCCTCTGAGGGAGTAAGCATAGCAAGACATGGGACTTTAGGTTCAGACAAACGAGGCTTGCATCTGGGATTCACTGCTCATCAGCTCTGTGGCTGCAGCTGAGTTACCCTGTGTCACAAAACCACTGGGGGGATAAACAGAAATGATGTACCTAAAACAGTTAGCATAATCTCTAGCACACAGTAAATGCAAAATAACTAGTAGTAATTACTGATATTAGTTTTGAGAAGCAATTCCCACCATACCCCTTCCCTGGGCTTCTGCACTGCCAGTGCAATTCGCACTCTATCTCTTTCCATTTGCACAATGTTGCCTTTCATAGGTCACAGAGAGACCTAGACTCATTCACTAAGCCCGATTCACCAGTCTTTCACACATTCAGCAAATATTTACTGAGCAGCACCTACCACTTTTGATAAAACACCGGAAATATAAGGCTGATAGTCACTGCCCTTACAGAACCCCCCTTTTTTTTATTGCGGTGAAAATATACATAGCGAAACATACACCATCAACAATGTCCCCATGTACAATTCAGTGACAGTGACTACATTCTTCAAGTTGTGCACCCATTCTACTATTCTTTTCCAAATCATTCCACCACCATTAACATAAACTCAATGCTACCTAAGCAAAAACTCTCCCTTTCCCCTTCCTTCTCACTCCTGGTAACACTATTAATTTTTGGTTTCTATATACTTGCTTACTTCATGTAAGAGATCGTAACAGTATTTGTCCTTCTGTGACTTATTTCACTCAGCATAAAAAAGGCTCTTAAAAAAAATAAAAAAAGCAGAATGGCTGTGTATGTACCTGTACATGGGATCTCGGGAGTCTCTCATGTCTCTGTATCTGTCGTACACAGGGTCCCGGTGATCTCGAAAATCCCTAGAGTCTCTTAGATCACGGAAGTCTCTAAAATCCCGCATGTCTCGGGCATCACGCATACTTCTGCTGTCTCGGTGCTCCCGCATGTCTCTGCTGTCCCGGTGGTCTCGCATGTCTCTGCTGTCCCGGGGGTCCCGCATGTCTCGGGTGTCCCGGGCATCCCGGCCATTTCTGCCATCCCTGGGCTCTCTCCTTGGACTTCCTCGAATTGGGGAGCGATCATGCCTCGAATCTCGACTGTCTCCAAAGCCATATGGATCCCTGTAGGAAGGAGTGAGAAGATGCTAAGACAAAGGGATGGAAGGTAGCCAACTCTTCAGCTCTTAAAGGAGGAAGTTCCCACCCGCCAAGCATTTTTTTTTCTCCAAAGCACGGCAGTCAAACAGTGAGAACATGACTAAAGCTTTAAGGACAGTCACCCATCTGGTCAGCAGATAAAGGCTACTAGGTTCTAGAATCTCAAGATTAGGATGGACATCAAAGAAAGAATGCATGACCAAAGTCAAAGGTTTTGACTGAGGCAACTGCGTTCATCAGGCTTCAGGGGATAATTCAGCATTCCTTACGCAAGAAAAACTATCATCTCAAACTCAACAGGTTTTTAAAGTGAAAGTGTCTAAAACCCATCTTCTCCCCACACTTGTTTAAAAGATTTAAAAAGGAAGGGGATGTTGGAGAGCGCAGTAAGGGGCAAGACTCAAAGAAAAAAGAATAAATGGTACAATCCCATACAAAGTAATGGTGATCAAAGGAGTTGTCCTTGAAGTACAGAAAACTCCACTTACAATATCTGCAGATCAATCAAATTAAGGGGGAAGAAAGGGAAAGTACAATACAATACACACATATAGTAAAGAATTAAGAACAATCAGTTTCTCTGTCTTCTCAACATAGCTATTGAATCTCTCAATCTGAGGGTTTATATAGAAACTTGGCTTCTTTTTGCCCAAGTTTTTTTTGTTTTTTTTAAACAGTGTTTGAAGTCATAGATATGCCTGGACTGCTCTGACTCAATGCTCTTCATGAGATATTCCACCCCACTGGAAACTCACCCCCAAAATATATAAAATTAAACTTCTTCCTCCAACTCAATCAGTCCTGTTTCTGACTTTACTTCTGCCAAAAATCATCTTGGCAAGTTACCAATTGTTTAAGCTCTTGAAAGTTAACTTTGATTTCTTCCTCTCCTTATCCCCATAGTAACTTAAGCCCTGCTCATTTTTTGTTTCATTCCCACTGGATTCAGAAGTCCAATCTAAGCCCTTATTTCTACGCTGGTACTATCACAAGAGTTTCCAAAAACAAAACAAAAACCAATCTTCCATATTTCAATTTGTTCGACACATAAATATCAGATTAACCATCCTAACATGCCAACTTCCACCTGTTGCCAATTGCACTTGTCTGTCGGGCCTCTGGGCACCCCTCTCCAACAAGTCTGGTCCCTTTTCAAATGCTATCTCCCCATAATACACTTCATGCACAGCCACCACACACCTGTCAGTGGAGGCTCCACACTAAGACAAACTAGGAAGAAATGCCTGGTGATCTACTTTCAAAAATCAGCCAACAAAAACCCTATGGACCAAAACGATCCAACCTGCAGCAGATCATGGGGATGGCGCAGGACCGGGCAGCATTTCATTGTTATATACTGCATCACCTTGAGTTGAAGGTTGACTTGATGGCAGCTAACATTTCTCGATACAATCCCCTCACAGTTCTACTTAAGCTGTTCTTATGAGTAAACTCATAGAACATATTTATCGCAGTATTTTTTTTTATATGGTTTCTTTCCTGTACTAATCTATCAGCTAATTCTCACAGGCAACTTCATGTTCCATGTCTTCCAAGAAGCCTTTCCTAACCTTCCTAGTAATCGCTGGTCTCTCCTCCAGTTCAACTCTTAGAGCACTTAATATTTCCATTATTCATCTTGATCCTAGCATAAAGGCTACACTGGTGATTACTTTAAAAAAAAAAAAAAGCAACATTTTTTACTGTTGCAGAAAGCATACACAGCAACACATCAACAATTTCTACATGTACAATTCAGTGACATTCTTCAAGCTGTGCAACCATTCTCACCCTTTTCTGAATTGTTCCTTCATTAACATGAGCTCACTGCCCCCAAGCTTCCTACTGCTGTTGTCAATTTGATCCCATATAATTCTTTAATAAAAAAGCACAATGCTCAAAGTAGATATTTCTTTACTAAGGTACTTACTTTTTTATGACGTTTTGTTTGACCCACTTTAAGAATTACCTCCTCCATAAAACGTGCCCTGAACTCTTGATCTTCCCCAACAAATATGCTCCTCCTCCAGTCCGCTTCCTTTCCATCTCAGTAAACAGCAAATCCACCTACTTAATCGCTGAAGCCCGGAAACTGGGAGTCATTCCTCCCTTAAAGCTTCATCCACGCTTGCAATCACATTTCCAAATTGTTTATAATTCTTTCTCTAAAATTGGTATCAATTCTGCCCACTTTTCTTTATCACCATTGGTATTACTGAAGGCCAACCCATCATCACCTCTTACGAAAAACAAAGCAAGTCTTCTAAAGTAGTCTCCCCTATTCTGCTCGTCTCTAATCTTTTTCCAAAAAGATCATTCTAGAGTGATCTTTTAAAAACATAAAACCTTTCACTGGTTTCCCACAGTATTTAGAATAAACCCAAAATCTCTACCAAGGTCACTAAGGTCTTGCATGATCTTGGCTCCTGTTCTGTTACTCTCATCTCACCCTTTCCATGGCCCACCACTCTGCCATACTGGCCTTTCAGTTATAACTAGCCAAGGTCTTTCCCAATCCCTCTACTTGAGCAGCACACTCATTTTCTAGGTCTCAGCATAAGTATCCCTTACTCAGATTATCTCCTGGATTCTGTTAAAAAATTCACTCTTTACCCCTAAATTCTGGCCACATTCTCTTACAGCAATTCTATTACTGCACTTATCATGCTTCTGTTAATTATTTGTTTACACGGCTTCCCTACCAAACAATAGGCTCTCTTGGTTTCGTATCCCTGGGACACAGCATGGAGTTCAGTAAATATTTAATGAACTGAATTATTAAACTCAACTGTAAGCTTCTCAAGAGCAGGCATCATGTTTTGTTTATACTTCTTTCATCTACCGTGATCTCACACACTAGGCATTCATTCTGATGCCATTAGCTTGGTAGATAACCTGCATTTATTTCACTTATCTACACAGGCACAGCAAAAACAATTTAAATGCCAATCTTGCCTCTATGAAAAGTCCTGGTCATACATTTTAAGGCTCACTAGCATTCCTGATTTGTGGGAGCCAATATTTGGGAGACCAGGGAATTTAAATGATAGCTAACATTATTTTTATTAGCATAAAATGCAGACTAACCAAGATTCTTTAACTTTTCCTATTATGTCATATAATCCTAACACATGTAACATCTGCTGTAGTGTATGTAGACAAACACTCAGGATTCAAAGGAAGGGACAATTACAAAGTATTTTTGGATTATTAAAGATCAGTGGATAAACCTGCCTTTGGGAGCAGTTAGTAGTAGTCAGAGATGGAATCAGATTTCGTGTTCTTGGCAATCAGGGTTGAGAGTGATCACCGGCCTGACAGACCAGAGACCACACACAAAGTCTCGGGCTGGTAGAAATGGGAGCGGGGAAGCAGATAATACCATGTCAGAGCATGTTATTCACAGCCTTAGAGAAATTATAAATGCCATGTTTGGTTTTCATTCTTTTGAATCCACTGAAAAACTTTACTTACCTGTCAGAGTCTATCCTTTGAGGTTGACTACAGTCATCCCTTGAGGTTGACTATAACCCTAAATTCCCAAAATCTGGGTTCACACTTCTAGTTTGAGACTGGTAAGTCCTCCCCTTCCCTGAAAGAACCCAAAGTCCATGTGTAACACAAAACTACCCCCAATTGCCTTCTGGGTAAAAATGTAGAAGAGGTGATATTCACAAGGGAGAAAAGAACCAAAGGAGTAGTGGAAGTAGGGACAGAGAAGATAACTATCTAAAATGAAAAGGCAAGGCTTTTTTCCTTTCTCCTAAAGATGAACAGTATGGCAGACTGCTGCTCATCTGGAGACAAAAACAAAACAAAAAACCTTTTAGGGTCACTTTTAAGACCCAAACAAAGAATTCCCCAGAACAAAAGGGCTCCTGCTGCTGGCCCCAACATCTTTCTCAAAACAAAAACACAGCTAACAAAAGAGTAGTACACTGTGTAGGGCTCAGAGTGCCACAAGGACAAAGCATAAGAGGCTTGACCTCAGGTAACAAGGGGGTTAGAAACAGGTTTCTGGATCATAATAATCATCCCATGACACCAGAGGTGTTTTACTAAAGGAGACCAGATGCGGTAATACCCTTAGGTACCAGGTCACTAGAGGCTAAAAAGAAACTGAATAGTTAAATAAATTGCAGCACTCAAGTCCACAAACTGAAAGCAAATGCAACTAAAACTCTGCTGTAAATTCCTCAGCTATTCAGCAGGAGGGAAACTAAGATAAATGTTCTTTGCCTTGAGAGAAATACAGTCACATCACCTGGAAACATTTGAGATATACAGGGAGATGGGTCAGGGGAAAAACCATAGCCCGGATGGCAAATGACGTGCTTTCAGTAGAACTGCTTCTCTTCCTGGGGATAAAAGGGGGTGTGTAGATCACTAGGCATTTGTGAGCCTACAGAGTAAAACTGGTAAGACGATCATCTTGGAGGATCTTGATGGACTTTAAGCTTCTCTTTGACTAGAGACTGAAATTTCACATCCAGGATGGTGTTCTCTGGCCTTGGCTGTACAGGTCAGGGAGAAAGGCCCTTTCTTTTTCTTTCTCTTCTGCAGAGGTCTTTCTTCCTTTCTATTCACCAGAGTAATTTCCTTGCGAGGGCTAACCTTTTTCGCCTCTGAAAAAAATCCTTCACCAGCTCCTCAAACTTCTGTCATAGAGTCTGTCCATAATCTGAATAGCTGGCTGCTATGTGATGTTGATCCCTGACTATGACTCCATGCTACCATCAGAAACAGAGACAGAATTTTGCCATTAGAAGCAGGTACGACATGGGTGCAATGAGATATCACCTTCACAGATCCAAATTTTGATAAGTGCTCGTGCTTCTCCCTGGGAGGCATGCTGATGATTTTCTCAAGCACAAATGTGACCTTCCTGTTGGTAGAGGTGGTACTTGCTAAGAACTGATGACTCTTCTTCAAGTGCTAATGCAGAGGTGATCACAGCCTGGAATCTTTGTGAGGCCCACCTAGAGCTAGGGCTGTCTCATATCCAAGGAGTAAGCAGTTATCAACGGAATTAAGGCTCTGTGGATTATAAGTAGAAATCATCTCAATCCATATAGGAAACTTGTCTACAGCCAGGTTATTTCTGATAAGCCAATCCTCAATGACTTTCACCAAAGAGGCTCCATGCCTAATACTCTTCACAAATATATGGGGAACACCCTTTGCAGAGCTTTTCATGTAGATACATTCATTCTACTTTGTTCTTCTTTAGGTCATATGGAAAGGTTTAGGAAATAGTGTCTCAGTACTTGGAGACCATGTCTTTGTAGGTATATGCTCCAATACCTGGACTGCAAAGGTGTTAAGCTAAAGATGGAAAGTGAGAACAATCTGAGGTACAACCAGAATCATGATGCACTCTTTGAAGACGGTAAGGACTAATGCATAGCAGCAATACTAGACAACTGGCATGGTAATAATGCAGTGTGTTCAGTGGAGTCCAAATGAAGTGGCTCAGGGTTAAATGAAAGAATTCAGGCTGAAATCTGATCCAGAGCGGGGATCCCTGATGCAGAGTTCTGTGCTTAGCTGGGCCAATATTGTCTGAATTACACACTGACAGTGGAGTCATTAGGGAGACACATTACTGAACAGAGAGCAAAGCCAGCAGAAATATGGCTTACAGACTTCTGAAGAGGTGAAAATCCTGTGAAAACTCAAAAAGATATGCAGGTGTTTTGACATTCAAGGGTAAAGTCCAGCAAAACAAGGTGCTACACAGGTTTCGCCAGCATGCTTAAAAACAATTTTCTTATTAAAAGTAGACACCACTGAAGACATAAAGGTACAACCTAAGGGAAATTATTTGCTATAGGTACAGTGTTTTTTTCTTGTGAACAATGCAATTCATACGCTGGGCACATCAAATTATTATGGCTGCCAAATGAGGGCAGTTTGGTTGTTAACATATTGGTACATTCGGAATTAGCTCAAGGCTTTGAATGGAAACATGCACCCAAACTGAGAGTGATACTCAATGTTCACCCTCAGAAAAATGAGCAGTCTCTTCCAGAGTAACCATCTTGCCTACTTACTGTATTTTATTCTAGCACTATTGGTACATCTTAAGAGATAATGCATGATCAGGACTATGATGAAAATGTTAGTGTTCTACTTTGAATACAATGTTCAATTTGTCTTGCTTTAGGGGCTTCTTTTTTTTTAAAGGTAAAACAACTGGGACTCTGGTCAGATTTTATAAAATGTGAACATCCCTCTTCCCTGATGCAAATGAGCACAACTATTTGGAAGTTCGTCATGTTAAATAATATGCTGAGGAACCCAGTTAGGGACATACCACCAAAGGGAAGACTGACTCTTAATGGAATCTGAATTAGCCTCACTGTTCCTCCTGTTTATTGTAAGTAAAGCAGGAAGCCACTGCTCTACCCACAACTCCAAACAACCTCATTTTAGAATTTATTTCTGAGGAAGGTACCATTTTAAATGGTATATAAAGGTGACTTGCATATTTGTCTATCTTCATATTCCTCCTTATCTGGTAAGGAGGAATAGCTCATTTTAAAAGGTCCTCTCCAATGCTGTTCGTATATGTTTGTTTTTCCTACTTATTAAAAAAAAAAAAAAAGAAATAAAAAGCATAAAGCTGTTTCTTCCCTTACAGATGAAATTAATGGAGTTGTATTTCAGGTTGGGATGAAATTAATCTTGTAAATTTAACACCTTGGCAACGGCTATACTGGATTCCAAGCAGGGAAGCTGGTTATTTCCCCAACACTGCCAATGTTTGTTGAATATCTGCAATTAATTAGAAATGTTAAAAGTATTTGGATAAGTATCATTAATAGGATGATATAAAGTATCCTTCTCAATCCATTACACCAACAGGAGATACTCTATTCTGCAATGTGCCCAGTTTATTTGCCTGCAGAAACACCGACATTACCCAGAGATCACAAGCATCGTGGGAGCAAGAAAGGAGAAGGATTTTACTGGCTTAGTGTCTTTATAGTTACAAACTCTACACTCTTTCTGGTAAGCCACCTAGTTCAGAAACCTACAGAGCACACCTTAGAGCACCTTGGAAACTGGACACGCACCGTATCTCCTTTCACGCCATCTGGTCATCACAGTTTCCAATGGGAGCCCTGTATTTCTTTCTTTCTTTTTTTGTCGCAGAAGAATATTTAATGACATAGAAATAATATGTATATTGATAATAAAAAGCAGGGTTCATTTTAAGAGAAAAATGGTGCATGTATATATATTTTTCCCAACTTTTTTTTTATTGTGCTTTAGATGACGGTTTACAGAGCAAATCAGTTTCTCATTAAACAATTAATACACATATTGTTTTGTGACATTGGTTTTTGCCAACCCCACATGTCAACACTCTCCTCTTCTTGACCTTGGGTTCCCCGTTACCAGCTTTCCTGTCCCCCCCTGCCTTCTAGTCTTTGCCCTGGGCTGGTGTGCCCACTTAGTCTCCTTTTGTTTTATGGGCTTGTCTAATCTTTGGCTCAAGGGTGAACCTCAGGAGTGACTTCAGTACTGAGTTAAAAGGATGTCTCAGGGCCATACTCTCATGGTTTCTCCAGTCTCTGTCAGACTAGTAGGGAGCCCCATATTTCTGACTACTAGGTACAAACTTTTAGTCACCTGTATTCCATGTTTATTGGGGCAATGGGGAGCAACACAGATGGTACTGCCCAACATGTACAGCATGGTTATATGACCTAACAGAAGCAGACATGACATGGAAATGTTGAAGTTCTGCAGGATTCATTTACGTTCTTCAGGACACATACACACACTAAACATGGCATTTACCTGAAGCTGTAGGCATTCCTTACAGTGTTAGAGGGAACAAATGAAATATCGATGTATCTGCCCTCTTCTGCAGTGTAACCAATGGATGACCAGGGCATCCATCTGACAGTGGCAGTGTGGCTGTAGCTATGGTATCAGACTCAACTCCTCTGCACAGGCACAGTGGACAAAGAATCCAACTGAAATCAGCATTACTTGCCCCTAGGGTCTGCTTGAATGCTGCGGAGTACACATGTGTTACCTACTCCTGGTAGCTACAGCAGACCCATTCTTCATATCTAAGTAGGGGCATATACACCGCACATACAACAGCTATTCTTTCTTATAAGTAGGTAACAAAGTATAGGTGTTTCTGTCCAAAAGTGGGACAGCTGTATGCTACATGTAAGTGCTCAGTTAGCTGGGTGTCCCAGGAAGGTAACAGTACAGACCAGGATTCACTGTATGCAGCAATATTCAGTTCACTATAGTGGTATATAGTTTATTGTAGAAAACTGGCATTTTTACTTAGGGGCAAAGGCAAAACCCATACGAGTACCTACTTGGGCACTGAAAAAGACACGAGATATGAAATATATCTGTCTGTAATACATACAAAACTGCACACACTGCAGCCACTTGTGTTCTGTCAGGGGCCAGTTTGGATACAATATACTCATCTTTGATGTAAATGGCAACATTAATAATAAAGCTCTTCTTTGTGAGAAGGGGCCAACTTAATGCATGTCTTGAGGGTCCACAGGACTATCTCTTTTGTATATACTAGGAGGAAGAATATATTGGGAAAATGTTCTCTATTTCCAGGAAAGCTAAGAAAAAGGGAGACTTTTGAGAAGTGAAGTGTTTTTGCCCTTTTTTTTTTATTTCCCCTCAAATAGGTAACCCAAGCATGTGAGCAAACAGGGGACGTGCAGCACAGCACAGGCACAGCAGCAATCTCTCAAGCAGCGCTTTCCGTAAACCTGGGTTAACATCTGGACCAGCAGCCATTTGGAACGAAGAGGTGAATCTCTCCAACCCGCTGCAATGCAGCGTGGCATACACCAATCACCCTGGGGCACTCCTCCTGATGTGGAGGCTCCCATTGACATGTGAGCTGGGGACAAACAGAGGTTTATCCTTTTCCAGTTGCCTGCAACTCATGCTGCAAGCTGCACTTGCTGGGTTTGCCACCGAAAACACAAAGCTTCCTCTGCATCTCCTGATGTATGTTTAAAAAAAGCCGCAAGGCCCTTCACACAAGGTTCATGTTCTTATTGTTTGCTTGAGCGTTTCTGATTTGTTGGGGGAAGAAAAGACCCTTGATGCACGAAGTTGGGCTTAACTCCCCAGAGCCCAACTCTCCCAAGGTAACTCACTGCTTCAGGGTACTTTACCTTCGTGTGGGACTGGGTCTTGATGGAGCCGTATTCATATTTCTTCTTTCCGCTGCCTTATTAATATCTGAAAAGAATAATCAACCCATCTGTTCAATGCTACGGAATAAAAACAAGATCATCAGCACATTTCAAAATGAAAGCAAACAACAAAAAATTACAATGGCAACCAGATGGTGTAAGAAAATCCATTCAGCAGAGACACACTGTCACTTGGGCAATTTTTATTATTAAGTTAAGGCAGTACATTGTCATGGCTTGGGAAGAAATGTCCCTCAGATTTCTAGCTAACACATACTTTGTGTAAAACTAATTATTTCAATGCTTTAGCACTCTGTCAACCCCTAAACCTAACATCTTCCCCCTCCAAAGGAGGCAAAAGTTGTTTTTTAAACTCTTAGAGAGCCAGCCGTAAGATTGTTTTTTGGGGAAGAGTGAGGAAAGAGAAGAGAAGAGGGTTAAAAAAGAGAGAGAGAGAGCAAAGGCAATTAATTCTATCTTATGTTACAGAGAAGTAATAGTCAACTGGAATCTGTGGTCCTAAACTTTCAACAGTCCATGAAGCAGAGCCTCCTTTTAGTGTACCCTGTGTTGCATTCCACTGAAAAGAATCTTTCAGAATAAGATGTAAGAAAGGAATGGATTATTATTTTTTAAACAAAGAATATTACCTGTTAACATCTACAACCTTTATAGATAGGTGACTAAGAATAAGAATTGTCATTTGGTGTATTAACCCGTTGCCGTCGAGTTGATTCCAACTCATAGTGACCCTATAGGACAGAGTAGTACTGCTCCACAGGGTTTCCAAGGAGCAGCTGGTGGATTCGAATTGCTGGCCTTTTGGTTAGCAGCTGAACTCTTAACCACTGCGCCACAGGGCTCCTTTGGTGTATTGCGGTTAGATAATAAAACACTCCTCATAACAAGTTCCCCTTTAGAGAAACCTGGCATATACAACTAGATAAGGGAGAACAGTGGGATCACAAGCTTTATGGAAAAGTCAATTTGTGCAGTTAAAGCTGGCTTTACTAAAAAGAAACATGCTTTGTAAAAACTGAATAATAAAAACACTATATAAGAACTGGTGAGATAGCTAGAGAAATGTACCAGTCTATGCCCCAAAATAACAACTGACAATTTTTATATGACTTAAAGATAAACAGCCACATTAAAAATATCATACTCCAGTTAAATGAAATAAAACTGCTTCCTACTACAGTGCAGTTTTGTTCCCCTTGTTCTATATTAAGCAATTAATAATGTATCTAATGACATCAAATGGTACTAAGCACTCACATAATTAGAGTGCTTTAAAATAGTAATTACATATTTAAAAAATTCCCAACCAGATTCCTATCACACGAAAGATCACAGTAAAAACAAGAAACTTAGATGTCTGGTACAGACTTTACCCTGCTATACTGTCGACTTCTGAGTTCCTGAGCTCCTGTTCAAGTGAGAATAATCTTCCGTTACATTTAAAAGCAGAAGTCTCTACTACGTCTAGGAGAATGGTTTTTGACAAAACTGAAGATAACATAAACCCAATAATCAGAGAAGCATATTCTACCTCAACAGCCTCTTACCTTTTCAATTAAGCAGACACTGGCTATACCCATTGCTGCTGAGTCAATTCCAACTCATAGTGACCTTACAGGACAGACCAGAGCTGCCCAATAGGGTTCACTGGCTATAGTCCCTCTTTATTTTTTAAAAACTAGGAAATATGTTCTGTGTAAGACTTGGCTAGTGGTATCTGATCATGGCTTTGGCATTGCATGTGCACTTTCACAATTTACAACTCTTGAAGTTCACTAATGTCTGAATTATATACTATGTAATGGCAGGCTTTACAGGGAAAATCTACTTCTTTTATTTATATATAACTGTGAAAAATACCAGTTCAGGTTACAAGGGCCTACTGATCTAGTCTGCTCACTTTCTTCGCACCACTTTCTAATATGTGGTGATAGGATTCAGAAAGAAGCGTGAAATATGTCTTTGATTATTTAAGTAGTTTTCGAAGTATCTCTCAAAAACACTCAGGTTGGGTGATATCTGACCATGGCTTTGGAGATTAAGATCTCTTTTAAATAAGTACCACAATGCCTAGGAGGATTCCATATATCATTAAATGGTCTTGTAAATAAAGAACACTCATCCAAACATAGACTTGACCTGGCAAACGTTTTGGTGAGAGTACAGGACATATGATACACAGTTTCTATTAATGCTGTAATTTTTTGTTAACATATTAAAAGGAATATTACACTGTATAATTCTATCCAGTTCTCTGAATGCCTACATATAGGATCAAAGTGGTAACGTATTATATACCTTTGGAACAAAACTGGTTCCAATTGGAATGTAAATATTTTATTCTGGAGGTTGGTGAAATGTTTTGCAATTATTTGAAAGATGAAAAAACATTTAAGATTATATCCTTAAACCATTTTTATTACTTTGCCTCTTAGTATATATTTTTACTGAGCAGTCCAGAGCAATTATATTTGGATGGTGTGGCTTACTATTTCTTCCTTTTGCAAAAAAGAGAACTCCGGACCATTGCTTAATTTTAGGGGTCAGCAAACTTTTACTGTGGCTTGTCATTTATCCCTCTCCCCTACTTAAGAGTTCCTTAAATGTTCATCTTGGGTGAGATATGGAGAAATAGAAATTTTTTGTTTGGTTGGTTTTTTAAATTGTACTTTAGATGAAGGTTTACAGAACAAACTAGTTTCTCATTAAACAGTTAGTACACATATTGTTTTATAATATTGGTTAACAATCCCATGACATGTCAACACTCTCCTCTTCTTGACCTTGGGTTCCCTATTACCAGCTTTCCTGTCCCCTCCTGCCTTCTAGTCCTTGCCTCTGGGCTGGTGTGCCCCATTAGTCTCGTTTTATTTTATGAGGCTGTCTAATCTTTGGCTGAAGGGTGAACCTTGGGAGTGACTTCATTACTGAGCTAAAAGGGTGTCTGGGGGCCATACTCTTTGGGTTTCTTCAGTCTCTGTCAGACCAGTAAGTCTGGTCTTTTTTT